CTAACGCCACGGAGCCAGGAATCCTGATAAGCAATTTGTCATGCACATCTGCTGTCTGAAGAATGCTAGGATAAAGTCAAGCAAGGACTGTTGGACAAGCATGGTGACCTTGTTTGTCCGGACATGAGATCTCAACCCATCCCATCCCAGGCTCCCAGGCTCCCAGATCAGCAACTTTCAGTCATGACGGAGACGATCAATCCTCAATTATGCGAGGCGAAGGCGCTCAAGGCCCTCATTCCGGGCCTTCTAGCAGAGAGTGCGGTTACAGGTATCACTCTCGATTTCGAACATCAATCATGGGTACGGTCGCTAATTTCATGAATGGTTCTTAGATGATGGACGCCTGCTCGTCGACCTACAAGAGAATTGTCCCCGGCTTGCGGGCTTCCTCGATGTCCTCCGGCGCCAGGCTGAGCATCATCGTCCCTGGATGCCGGAAGACAGCATGATGCGGTTTCCGCTCCGGTTGAATGTGGTCATACACGTCGTGGGGTCTCGCGGGGATGTGCAACCTTTCATTGCGCTTGGACAGGAATTACAGAGACACGGTCATCGCGTCCGATTAGCCACGCACCTAGTATTCCGAGATTTTGTGCGCGCTCATGACTTGGAGTTCTTCAACATTGGCGGGGACCCGGCGCAGCTTATGTCGTTCATGGTCAAGAACCCCAACCTGGTGCCCAAGGTGGAAGCGATCACGCAGGGGGATATTAGCCGACGGCGGAAGGATGTGCGAGAGATCCTTGGTGGCTGCTGGCGGTCGTGTTTTGAGCCCGGCGAAGGCATTCACCCCTTCAATCCGGCTGAGTGTACCGGTGCGCCGCCATTCGTCGCAGATGCTATCATCGCCAACCCCCCGAGCTTCGCACACATTCACTGTGCGGAGAAGATGGGGATTCCTCTTCATTTGATGTTTACGTGGGTTGTTCTAGGGTGGTGGTTGTTTTGTCGATAAATGCTTACATAGAGCACAGGATGCCATGGTCGCCCACGCAGGCCTTTTCACATCCACTGGCGAAAGTTCGCTCGACAAATACTAAATCGTCAGTAGGCAAGCTGATGTCATACATGATAGCGGAAACGGTGATATGGCAGGGCGTGGGTGACTTGATCAACGAATTCCGCCGGCATGAGTTAGGACTGGAGCGGCTGGATTCTATGCGTGCGCCCAGCCTTCTTTCTCGGCTGAGAATACCTTTCACATATCTTTGGTACGTACAATTGGAGGATATCTATTCGTTGGAAGCTCGAGTTAACCGGGGTGTTTAGGTCTCCTTCCCTCTTGCCGAAGCCTGACGATTGGCTCTACCATATCGATGTGGTTGGGTTCTCCTTTGTGCCGCATGATGACAAGTATGAGCCGCCTCAAGATCTAGTCGAATTTCTTGAAGCTGGAACACCACCGATCTACATCGGGTTTGGATCAATTGTCGTCGACGACCCGGAAGCACTCACGCAGACTATTCTCGAGGCCGTTCGAATGTCCGGTCAGCGGGCAGTAGTCTCCAAAGGTTGGGGTAATATCGGTGCTGATGAGGCTGATGACCCGAATGTGTACTTCCTAGGCAATTGTCCGCACGACTGGCTGTTCTCCCGAGTCTCATGCGTTGTCCATCATGGTGGTGCAGGAACGACAGCAACCGGGTTAGCCCTGGGCCGGCCCACTGTCATCGTTCCATTCTTCGGTGATCAGCCTTTCTGGGGAATGCTTGTTGCCTCCAATGGTGCGGGGCCTGCACCAATCCCCTTTAAACTATTGACAGCCGATAAGCTTGCGGGCGCAATTCGGCACTGCATGGAACCCGAGATCAAAGAACAAGCCAAGGTCTTGAGCTGTAAGATTCAAGCCGAGCAAGGTGCCGCAGCGGCAATGGACAGCTTTCATAAGCACTTGAGCCTGAATAGGTTGAGATGCGCTTTGTGCCCTGATCGTCCGGCTGTATGGCGAATCCAGCACACAAGCATTTTTCTCAGTGCATTCGCTGCTGCAGTCCTCGTCCACTCGAAGCAGCTAGACCCAAAGAACATCAAGTTGTACGTACGCTCTCTTGCACTTCCATGGTTTTTCTGTAGACTCATCTTCGACAGGCTTCGAATTAAATCCTACGATACGAACCTTGATCCGGGCGTTCCAGGCCTTCCCGGAGCTGAGATGTTCGCTGGGTCTCTCGCTAACTTCTTCACCGGCTTGGTCGAGATGCCCGTTCAACTAGTGCAAAACTTTGCACGGTCGCGTTCCATCAGATTCGCCGAGAGGTATAGTCTCTCGAGCTATTGCGCGACGCAAGCGCCGGTCTCCCCGTCGCGCTCGACAACTCTGGCAGATAAGTCTGAGACTCGTCAACGATCAGACTCGGGCATCTCCATCGCTCCTTCAAGTAATTCGCTAAAATCATCCTCGAGCCAGAGCTCCCTGGACATGCCGACCATGAACCGTGGCACGGCGTCTGTGAGTAACGTACTCATCAATTCTGGCTACACTGGGCGTCAATTGTTGGACTGGATCATTGAGATCCCAATGAGCGTTACATTCTTATTGTGCCATACATTCCACAATGCTCCTCGATTCTATCACGACCAAACTGTGAGAGAGGCGCCCATAGCCACGGGAGTCAAGTCAGGATTTGTCGCAGCTGGCCAGGTCAGATTCGCGTATGACGTATCGCGTTGCCACAAATGGCTAACGTGTCACAGGAGTTCGTGTACAGCTGGTACGATGGGATCACTGGTGTCGTGACTCAACCTCATCAAGGATGGGATAGCAAAGGCGCTTCCGGTCTAGCATCCGGGGTGGGCAAGGGAATTGGAGGATTGTTGATCAAACCTCAAGCAGGTAGGCTTCAAATGGCTTCCCTGGTCTGACGTGCGCCAGACTGACTGTTACGTACAGGTCTATGGGGCTTGCTGGGATACCCTCTCAATGGGGTTCACCGCAGCATTGCCAATTCCTATGGGAAGAATCGACGATGTTGTGTAGTAAAATCACGCATTGCCCAGGGCATCGCAGAACTCCAGTTGGCCTCGGACGGTCAGCGAGCAGCCGTTCTCGCGCGATGGAAGGATCATTACGAACAGAAGGTCAAGGCTAAACTAGAAAAGAGAAATCGATAGCAGAGCAGCATTTCAAGCGAGATCAACTCAGCATTTTTTCACAACGAACGATTTACAGATTTATTCCCTGAGCCAGCACATTCACCACCTTCTCTTGAAAGTCCAAGGCAAGCCCTGCATCTCCGTCGCGGAAATTTCCTGTCAGACAATCTATCGTGGCCTGGGCATAACCGTCGCCCATCTCCTTTGGCAGATTCTGCTGGGCTAGCGCAGTCAAATCCGAGGCGACCTTTTTAGGCTTTGGTAGTCGTCCGGTCTTTTCTGCGTCGCGGATTTTGGGCTCCATCAATCGAGACAATGTCACCCAAAGACCGATCTCTAACAGCACTACACCCAAGGCGTAAATGTCATGGCGCCGTTGAAACTGTCGGGTGGGCTTTCCCTGCCGTTCAGGATGACGGTAGAGGTTCGCTTCGGGCTCGAAGTCCCCACGCATGTCCGTGCCCTGTTGCTCGGACCGTGCGTAGCCCCAGTCACCCAGGTATGCGAGGATTCGTTCTTGAGACTTCGGGGTGTTTGACAGTCGGTGCGCCTGAAGACCCGAGGCGCGGACGCCTGCTGGAGTCTGCAAAAACAAGAGGATTCCTTTGCTCCAGACATTCTTGTGAACCCACTTCGAGGCATGAACATTCAGCAGGGTCACTGCGAGGCAATGCGCCATGCTGAACCTATCATTCAAGGATGGCCGTTTCAGTGGTCGTTTGTTCTCCCGATCTACAGCGTTGATAAAGCTATGGAGGGTGGTGAGTTTCGATGTCGCTGCTGTGTCTTGATACTGATCCACCTCGTCGGACGTTGGAAGCTTATAGAGGAAGACGTTGCGCTCCTCTTCCGGTTGGTCGATGAACCCTAGACACTCCATCGCATAAATCTGAGGTGGCTCCAACCCTGGTTCAGCCTCGGAGGACTTGTGGCTATTGAAGGTGCTGTTTTTCAGAAGCCAAGCTAGATTGCGAATGGGCTCCTTCAACTCTTCGATCTCATCGGGCTCCAGATCACCACCTTTTAACATGCCTTCATACTCATGAAATTCTATAACCACCGTCGTGCCGGATGTTGAGCCGGATGGCGTCCATCGTCCCAGCTGATAGCCGCCCGACACATTACCTTCCTCACTGACTTGGCCTTCCAAGCTTTGAAAGTCGGCCGGGGCATGCGCTTCGACCAATTTTCGCCGCTTGATCACGGGTTCCAGCCCGGTCGCCTTCAGGCCCTGATCGTTCTCATCCACTACCCTGGACAGCGTGTCCTGGGACAGATGCTGCATCAAATTGCGCAAGTCGGCTGACCAGTCGGTGTAGGCTTCGAGTATCTTGTGCAGCCGTTTCTTGTCGAACAACGACCAATCGTAGCCCTTCAACTTCAGGGACATGGCTTTGATCTTGATGCGATGCAGGAGTGATTCCTTGACCTGCTCGGGTTTTTCTAATCCTTCATCCTCATCATCGCCCATGACAAGGCCATACTTGACAGCCACAAGCTCATACTCAGTCAATGTCTTGCGCATTTGAACAAGCAGGCCCTCGATGGTCTGTGCAATGAAAGGGTCGAGTTTGCCCGGCAGGAGTAGGCCATGATCTGGATGAACAAAAATGCGACGGAAAAAGAGCAGGGTCGAGAGCTGCACGTTCAACTTCAGGCGGACTTGTGCTCGGTCCTCATCGAAGGACTTGATGTCGGAGATAACGCCTTGGATAAAAACGGTTACTTGGTAGGCTTGCGTGATGGCCGTTACCGCTGTGCCATAAACATCCATTTTGAGTGCGATCGCTTGGTCGTTGCAATTGATTGAGACCGAATGATAGATGAAAAGAGCACAGACAGCACAGAGGGGAGGGGGTTGGGGGCTGACAAGATGTCATAAATGTCAGACGCGGCTGAAAACATGCCGGCTAATAAGCATAGTGAGGGGCTAAAATGGCTCTAGATCCATAGCGCCGCCACCGGTTCGTTTACAGGCCGGTAGTGAAGAACAAACACTTGCTTCCCCCGCTTTGTGCGTCAAAAAGCATCATCCCTGACATTTGCATACACAGCCATGTCGGACGATGAATCTTTCGATCTTCTCTCCTCTCTGGATAATGGAGACCTTTCCCCATCATTGAGAGACTGGGCCTCCGGCACTGCCGATAGCTATGATGTGGTGGATTTGGACCTGGATCTAGATAGCCTGAGCCTGTCGTCGGTCCATTCTAGCGACCTTTTGGAAGCGGCAATTACTGCAACTCGGAATGGAGAGTCGGCTATTCTAAGTACAGTATCTCAATTTGCGGGCATATTGTCTCAGACTGGAATCCATGGACCGCGACTGCTGAAGGCCCTCAACCTGGCGACGCGAGCGACGAAGATTGGCGCTGGCTCTCAATTTACTGTCTTCAAGGAAAAGTCGCATGAAGGGTATACCGGAAATGAGGGTTTGGTGATTAAGCGGGTGAACGTGCCTCTCTCACGAAAAGCCGCTCAACGATTCGCCGACACCCCAGACTATCGTCTTCAGTTGCGCACACTGGGGCTAGAGCTACTCGCTCTCTGCAATCCGTCCCTGCGGCGTCACCCCAATATTGTTCGGCTTATCGCGTGGGGCTATGACTATCCGTTCGCTGATATGCCGGTTCCGGTCCTCTTCGTGGAAGCCGCTTTGATGCCATTAACGGACTTCCTCGCAGTTGGCAATGATTGCTCGTCCGAAGTCAAGTATCAACTAAGCTTGGATATCGCGAATGGAATAGAGGCATTGCATCATCTGCGTATAGTGCATGGAGATCTTAAGCCAGAAAACGTGCTTGTGTTTGGCATGGAGAGCGAGAAAGTGCCATTCAGAGCTAAATTAAGTGATTTTGGGGTCTGCATTGATCTGGAGGCCTCTGACTCTCGGCTTACTATGAGTGATTATCGTGGAACGCCCGCGTGGCTGGCTCCCGAGGTGGCCAACGATGATTTAGCACGCTTCTGTCCTTTCAAGCCGGATCTGATGTTTCGATTCGATGCATACAGCTTCGGCCTGACGGTGCTATCCATGTTTGTCAATCGAGGAGAGCCGGTAGATCTTGACGAAACCCTCGAAAATGCAAGCGAGGAGATCTCTGACATGCTGTATGAGCGTGAGGACATTCCTTCCGCTTTGCGTATGGAGCTTCGTAAGGCGTTGCTCAAGCTTCTTGCGGAAGATCCCAGGAACCGACCGCTACCAACTTCTCAGCTACTGAAGGCGGATACCCCTGCGTATGCTTCTTGGTATGTGTATCACTGATATCTCCTTATGAAAGATTCTAAGTCCGTAGGTTATCTATTGCCAAAATCGGCAGTGAATCTGCTCCATATGTTGGCACACTGGACCCAATGTACAACAAAGGACCATTGTTTTGGTACCGACTCGATTCGTCCGTTCTGTCTGAGCTGGAAGCACAATACATGGCGGCGAAGCAGGGTGCGTCGGCAGAAATCCCGGGCGATGTTTTACTAGGAATGGCGCAGACCGTGACAGGGGCCAAGCCGTCATATCTTGACCGTCTTCTATTGTACGTGACTGACGCCGCAAAGGGTGGCTACTCCCCAGCAAGAGCCGTCTATGCTCAAATCATGGCTGCTCATGACCTCTCGCCCGAGTTCGACGCGAAGGTGCTGGAAGAATGGACTTTCCAGGCCGTTGCGGAAGGTTATCTCTTCGGTCCTCCATGCGCTCTTACAAATGAGAAGAGGGAACAGGCAAAGAGCACGTTTCGTCGCAATGGCGGATTATGTGCGGATCCCTTCCTCGGGAAACAGACTGTGGTAGATGCCGCACGGAGTCCCCAGAAGGCTGTCAAATGGAAGGTGGAACATGGGTTGATAGTTGATCAGAAGGGGAATACCATCCTCCATGTCGCTGCCGTGTTGGGAGAGCTTGATACAGTTCAAGCACTCCTTGACGAAGCGAACATAGCTGTCAATGTGTCGAACGACAGTGGGGAGACACCACTTTACAAAGCATGTCAGGCTGGTCATGCAAGCGTGATCCAGTACCTGCTCCAAAGAAAGGCAGATGCGTCCCGTACAACACAGCCGGCTAGATTATCTCCGTTGCATTGGCTCTTCATGTTGCCGGATGAAGCCATCCACTTGATTGCTGAGCAGCTAGTTGCAGCAGGTGCTGATGTCAACGCTGTCATCCGACCCGTTGTGGGCGAGAACAGTGGAGGATTTCCAGAACGAATCCAGATCGTGCATTAGTGGGTTTCCATACGCCTTGTACTATTCTAGCCATTGCTAACGCTACGAAGCCCATTTGAACTGCCTCATGGAACGCCCCTGCATTGGGCTGCGACTTTTCGCAACCTAACAGCGATGAGTGCTCTCATCGACCTAGGTGCTAATGTAAATGCCAAATATCATGGCTGTGATAGCGCAACCACGCCTCTTGCACTTGCTGCGTGGTTTGGTGATGTCGAAGTGGCTCAGACTCTCGTGACCCGTGGAGCTGATGGAAAGCTCATCGACTCGATGGGGAGAAACACGCTTCACAGCATGACCAAATACTTCCCTGAGCGACATGGATATCTCCCCCACCACTGGCACGCATGGATCCGGCACGGGAACTGGGAGACATATCTCGATCATACGAGCAAGCTAATTCGTCTGCTGTTAGATGCTGGGGCAGATGTAAATGCTAAGGACACGGGATATCCACCGCTCACCCCCATTGCTGCTGCTGTCGATCTGGGTGTCTGGAATGGTGGCGTAGTCAGTGCCCTGCTTGAAGCGGGTGCAGACCTTCAGCAATCAATCTTGTCGGCTGGAGACACTGGTATGTCCCGGGGCAGCTCCTTTGTCGCTTGTCGCATGAACTGACAGGAAGCGTAGTACTTCACTCGTGGGCGTCGATCGTGGGTCCCCGACTAGACTATCCACGCTCATACACTCCTACCCTCCGACGGATTGTCACTGCCATGCCCGATATAGACATCCCGAACAAATTTGAAAACGACACGTCCCTGCATTCCCTATCAACAACATATCACCCCGAGGACGAATTTGAACAGGCGTGCGAGATCCTGCTTGAGCACGACCCTCCAGCAGACCTCAACGCGCAGACCCGCCGGGATGCCACTCCTTTGTCGATCGCATTCGAGACCAAAGACGACCCAGCTAGGCGTGGTCTCTTCCTGTTACACAAAGGTGCCTCACCAACGCTTTTTACGGATCAAGGTAAAGATATCTTTTTCGCCATCGCCAACAATGCCATTCTTCACGATAAAGACACTTACGACCTGATCACCGCTGTCCTGCAATATATCTGTTCTGGCAGATCCGCCACAGAGAGTAAGGCGAAAGGCACCGGGGACATTCATGAGACTTACCAGAAACTCTTCCTCCCCAATCAGGGGGCAATACACAGTCTCATAGCCGCCGTGGTCCGCGGCAAGGTCCGGACTACCACGCTGCTTCTTTCTTTGGGCTTGCGGTCGCGCCTGAATGACCTTGATCCAAGCAAGCCTCGTGGCTTTACTGTCCTCGATCATGCCCTGCACTCCGCCGAGCTCAGCCGCCGGGCCCATATGGAGAAACTGGCCATGTACAAACCGGGTCCAGCACAGCGGGCCGCTGTAGACGACCAGGTCGTCTATGACGATGGGCAGGGTCCGCCTGCTCGAGCTGCAGAAGCATACCATGCTTTTCCGGTGGTGCTGCGCTGCCTGTGCGAGGAAGGTGCAAAGCGGGCTTGTGAGTTAGAGATGTCGGATAGCCATGCTGATGGTGCTGGTGCTGTAATTGATGGCACGTATATTCAACAGCAACAATGGTGGGATTGGACCTCCATCTATACATATAAGTTTACCCCGGTCACGCAGCCACATCGGGAGCGGTGGGAACTCCTTTACGAGCTGGCAAGATATCCGGTCGGTTGGAAGGAGGAACAGATCGAGGAGTTGGCGGAGCGGTATGCTGCCGAAATCTGGAGGCCGGATACCCGCTTTCTGGAGGAAGAGGAGGACCGGCAATTTGTTGGCGCGGTGGTGGCTAAGATTGGAGTGGTGGATGGCGGTGGGGATGATGAGGGCTCGGTGGTGCGGTTAGAGGCAGTCGATCCGCTCAAGGGCAAGGTGGAGGTGACTGTTGGGGTTGCGGATGGGAGGGTGGTTAGCAAGACAAAGATTAAGTGATGTGCTAGATGTATGTGCAAATCTGTTGTTGGATTTAGGTTGTTGAGAATTGACTTCGATGCAATTTCTAGACTGGCCCTGTCCAGTTTCCTGGAAGGGTCTTAGGATGTCCGCCGTGGCATTGAGGATAGACGAAAGGCAACCCCGCTTCAAGACCCACTGGAAGCCTTCATTGAGTCCGTCTCCCATTCCATACCCTAGCTCTGCGACCAAATGTGCGCCGCCGGTGATATCGGTGATGATAAGATACTCGGATTTTCAGATATTCCTGTCCACCACCAACAAAAAGAGCGAGAACATGAAAGAGCAAAAAGAGATGGTCCCAGAGGGGCTCGAACCCTCGACTTTAACGTTATTAGCGTTACGCTCTAACCAACTGAGCTATGGGACCCGATTGATGTATTGAGTTTTTTCTCTTGCTAGTATATCCTGTTGTTAAACCCTTGCAGCCAATGGTTCATGGTAGGTTGTGCGCAACACGCCAGTATTTGCGTACCTAGAATCGAGAGGCGTTGGTTAGAGAGTAGTCAGTTTATCGAGACTCTATGCTGCAGGCAAATGAGCTTCCAACAGTGAGATTTACATCCATGGTGTGCTCTATCATCAATATCTGATATCATGCACTGTGGCGGATGTGGGTGAGCAAATATATACTGGCGGATCGTCTCAATTCGCACCATGTAAGATTGAACTGGCCAAGCCCGAGCATAGAAATCCCCAGTACAGAGTACAAAAAGTCTTCACTGGGAGTAATTGGAATCACCACTACTGGTGCTACTTGCGCAGTCACATGATCATAATGTGGTTGCAATCCCCTTCCCGGGGCCCTTCTCCCCGGCTTCTCCCCGCTTCCCCGACACCCTTCCATCCCCATCTCATCTGACAGACTATGTCCACACTCAGAGCCACGAGCAGCAGCTATAAACAGTCCAACTTACACTACATCTGATGCGCAGGCTATACTGCGTCTGCTAATCACGGAGAAAAGCCCAAGTCCACAGCGCTCCAGCCGATCTGCACTGCGAAAGTCCGGGACTTCCGGCCCAGGCTGGATCGCTACAGTCACCACGATGTGTCATACTCACGACAAACGGGGTCCCACCACGCAGTTAACCTGATAGATAATTGCCGACCCCCCAGTGAAGAGGTGATATCCCTTCTGTCAATGCTTCTCCCATTATCTTATATCTTATCTATCTTGCCCATTAATGTCCCGGTTACAAGAATCGCTGACCAAGGCCGATAGTTTCAAGGAAACTGCCTGCCCGCCATTTCGGCCACACAGGAAGTCTTATTTCCCCTTGACCGCGATGACATGACAAGAACATCCTTTCGAAAACGGCCTCATAGCGGAGCCAACGCGCTGCCGCCACGAGGGGAGCTCTCGTGTTTACTTTTCATGATGGCTGATCTGCTGCCACATGTGACTTTACCCTGGCCAGGGATGGAAATACATCCCACCCAAACAAACGTTGAAGAAACCCCTCAACCCCCTCTCATAACGTCCTGAAAGGTCAAATGAGAGAGTGAGGTAGCATCGCAGTTGCACACACCTCCTCGTTGCTGGCTGGGTTGGCCCTGGCCCGAGGTCCATTGCCCCCCATCGGCCGGGTCCGATGGAAGCCATCCCGGCTAGTGGGGACTGCCATCGACGATCGCCTGTAGTATCCAGTGGGGAAGAGAGGGAGGCGTCGCCCCGGGGCCTCGCTTACATTCTTTCGCGTCCTTCCCTCTTCCGTCCTGGCGACTCACGCCGTGCCTTTTCCAAGAAACTGAAATCCGGGGAAACCTGGTCAATGCGGCGGGCCTTGCCACGGCCACCGGCGATGACCGGCCCTCCACCAGCGAACATCGGAGGGTTTTCTATAAAGTGATCAAGCTGGATCTATACAAAAAAGGGCTTCCAATGGCTTAGTTTAAGTCGATTTGACAGTCATTGTGACGTGCCGGACAGGATCCTGGCCGATTGTTGTGATTGTCACACGTAATTCTTCTTCAGATGCTCCCTCGCTGTTTCGGGTCCCATCTATACAACGTGCCAGCATGTCGCCCTACTTTGGCCTGCGAGGCTCGCAATTGGAACGTGCCGTCATGTGGCTCGTTGTCTGTCCGGCATTCGTGTGCTATGGCTATAACCAGGCCGTCACCGGCGGCTTGCTCACCCTCGAGTCGTTCGTCAAAACCTTTCCGCAGATGAACACGCTCACCACGACGGGCGCGCAGCAGAACTATAATTCAACTATCCAGGGTATTTTCCCTCGTCCAATTCCCCACAGTATTCGAAATGGAATCTGACCGTTCACAGGCACGGTCGTCGCCCTCTATACCGTCGGTGGTATTTTCGGCTCACTGTCATGCATCTACCTGGGCGACCTCCTGGGTCGCCGGTGGGTCATCTTCCTCGCATCCGCCGTGTCCATGATCGGGGCTATTCTCATGGCGACTTCTTTTGGCTTGGCCCAGTTCATCGTCGCTCGACTGGTGTTGGGACTGGGCACTGGCGGCTATGTTGCCACGGTCCCGGTGTGGCAGGCTGAAATCTCCCGACCCAGCAAACGAGGCGCCCACGTGGTAACGGATGGTATCTTCATCGGCGCGGGGATCACCATCTCGCTGTGGATCGACTTCGGCTTCTACTTCGTGACGGGGAGCTCGGTGTCCTGGCGGTTCCCGCTGGCTCTCCAGGTGGTGTTGTCGTTGATGGTCATGGCGTTTGTGATGGTGATGCCCGAGTCACCCCGGTGGCTGCTCAAGCGCGGCCGTCCCAAGGAAGCCAGCGAGATCCTGGCCGCGCTAGCAGACGCCGACCCCGAGAATGCCGCGATCACGCTGGCCGTGCGCGATATCGAACGGTCGCTGGCGCTAACGGGTTCCGGCTCTTGGAAGGATCTCCTAAGCATGGGGGAACAGCGCCTGTTCCATCGCGCGGCTCTGGCGGCTACAGGCCAGATTTTCCAGCAAATGTGTGGCATCAACTTGATTACTTTTTACGCTACAACCATCTTCGAGCAATATCTAGGGCTAGACGCGCTACAGTCACGTGTTCTAGCCGCCGCCATGTGCCTGACGCAGCCGCTAGGGGGTTTCCTGGCCTTCTTCACAATCGACCGGCTGGGCCGTCGGGTGCTGATGCTATGGAGCGCAGCGGGGATGTCGGTATCAATGGCGATCCTGGCGGGCACGACATCGCTGCCGGACAACACGGCGGCGCTGGTTGTAGCCGTGATCTTCCTTTTTGTTTTCGAGTTCATCTTTACCGTGGGCTACTCCGGCCTCACGTTCTTGTACGCGACGGAGGTGGCGCCGCTGCAGCTGCGGGCCGCTATCAGCGCGGTGTCGACGGCGGCGGTGTGGACCTTCAATTTCTTATTAGCCGAGGTGACACCAGTGGGCTTCGACACCATCTCGTGGCGGTACTACATCATCTTCGCCGTGCTGAATGCGGCGATCGTGCCGACGGTGTATTTCTTCTTCCCGGAGACCAACGGGCGGTCGCTGGAAGAGATAGACGAGATCTTCATGCAGTCGAAGAGTGTGCTGGACCCACCGCGCCTGGCGCGCACTTTGCCGCGCATGCTGCACGTGGCGGATGTGGTCGATGAGACCGAGACGGAATCCGGGGGGGAGAATGGTAATGGTAAAGGAAAGATGTGACGAGGCGTTTCAACTGGAGGACCTTGTCGTACCTGTCTACGCGAGATGTTCGTGATGTATCTACCTATAGCCCGAGGACAGTGACTTGGCCATGCATAATTGGTTCAATATACCGAACGACCCGAAAAGAGGCGTTCTTCGATACGAACTCGAAGGATGAACGATAACTTTAACGAGAATTGTCGCACCAAAGAGAAAGTGGAGCACGGGCGGAACAGACCCGCAACAACACCCTGAAGCCGAAGTCGCCAATGAGATGTCTACAATCTATCTCGTCCCTGTGAGCATTGGCCCCCAGTGATGAGCCGTGGTCTGAGGAGTACAGGAGTACGTCCATTCACCCCAAGTTCGATCTCTACTTGCAAGAACAAAAACAAAAATAAAAACAAAAACAAGAACAAAAGTATCATGAAACGTTCCTGACATTATCATTATAACCTCATCAAAAAAGCTAGGTAGGTATCTCTATTATATCCTCCAGGGATACATTTACCGCACGCAGTAACCACCGTCGATCAACAAATCAGCACCAGTCGTGTACGAGCTCGCATCGCTGACGAGGTAGACATAGGCACCCTTCAGCTCCTTGGCATCACCGTTGCGGCCCATGGGGATCATGGACATCCACAGATCCTGGACCTTCTTGTCGACGAAGTCGGAGAGACCGGTGTCGATGTAGCCGGGGGAGATGCTGTTGACGCGGGCGAAGTCGCGCCACTCGTTGGCCAGCGACTTGGCCATGTGGATGCAGCCGGCCTTGGCGACGTTGTAGGAGGTCTGCTCCTGGGGGAAGTTGGCGATGTGGCCGGACATGCTGGAGGTGATCACGAAGCTGCCCTTGCCCTGCTTCTTGAAGTGGGGGCCGATCGCCTTGGCGCAGTGGAAGGTGCCGTTGAGGTCGGTCTGGATGACCTCCTCCCAGTCCTGGACGGAGCCGTCGAGGATGCCGCTGTTGGCGGTGCGGCCGGCGTTGGCGATGAAGGCGTCGACCTTGCCGAAGTCCTTGATCACGTCGTCCACGAGCTTCTGCACGCTGTCGTAGTTGCCGACGTCGCACTTGTAGGCCTTGGCCTTGACGCCGTAGGTCTTGGAGAGCTCGGCCGCGTTCTTCTCGCCGCCCTCCGGCCGCGAGGCGTAGGTGATGGCGACGTCGGCGCCCATCTCGGCGCAGCCGCGCGCGGCCTCAATGCCCATGCCGCGCGGGCCGGAGGCGCCCGTGATGATCACGACCTTGCCCTTGAGGCTGAAGAGGTCCTGGAGGCTGTTGGCGCTGGGGACGGGGATGGGCATTTTGGTGGTATTGGTTGGTTGGTTGATGTAGGTAAGAAAGAGAGAGAGAGAGTTTGGATGGATGGATGGATGGAATTGAGTTTGGAAGAGTTGGATTGAATGATTCTGGGAAAAGAGCAACAGGGGAAAAGGAGGGGATATAAATACGAGAGAAGGGGTGAGGGGTTGGAGGGGCAGTGGAGGGGCATGGATCCCTGCAGAGGTACGTACGTGTACGTAGCTTTCTCCCTCCCTCGTGTGGTACGTGGTACTTTTTTTTTCTTTACCTGCTTACCTGCATGTTGCATATACGATGTCACAGAGTCCACTAGGGCCTACTGTCTGTTCTAGAGCGAGAGAGCGAAACAGAAAGAGAGGGGGAAGCAACAGCTTAGGGTCAAACTTGGCGGGAAAAGCGGGGGATGAAGTCATCGATTCCTGCCTTTTTCCCCTCCCATGATGTCATCGCCCAACTAACCCTGAAAACCCTCAAACCCTCAAACCGGCTGAATTGCACGTCTGGTTCCAACTCCACTTCCACTTCCACCAGACCCAGTCCACCCATTTTTTCACTTCTTTTCTTTTGGATGAAATTTTGTCACTGGCCTTTGTTCTGTCATGTGCTCATGTGCTGGATTTCATAATCAATGCACACAAGCCCGCTCTATCGGCATTGGTCGGCATTCTCCACTCGGCCCGGATGCAGGTTCATGACGACAACGATCCCTTGACATCCGACCTTCACCGGGCTGCCGAACCAGGGTCCGATTTGTGGGAAAGGGTGGGAAGTATATAACAAAATGGGGAGGGACAAAGGAAAAAATTTTTGCTGCTGCGTGCAGAATTTAGCCTTTGCTGTTGCTGCTGTTGCTGCCTCACCATGAGTGCTGCTAGTGCTGTTCCTGAGGATAGACGCCCGTCCATGCGGCGGGCCAGTACGGCGCATACCAATGATTTCGATGACTCGTTTTTCGGGCGGTAAGTCTGTCAGTTTGTGGGATTTTCCGGGCATTGGGGACTGATCGAAGGTCACAGTGTGCGATCGTTCTTCCATCGCGATCGCCATGTCGGGGTGGTCAGTCGCAATGAGTTGCGCGACAAGGAGGATCTGGAGATTCACACCTGGAATGGCAAGGATGATCCGGACAATCCGTACGTTCAATCGGGGGAGTGCAGGATAGGCGAAGGACAAGCGACGGACTGACAGGTGCGGATAGGTTCAATTGGAGTCCAGCGTATAAATGGGTTTTGACAGTCACGGTGTGCTTCATGTAAGCCCCCCCCCCCCCCCCCCCCCCTTATAGCCCTTCCTCCCACTCAGACCAACCCTAACACAATCTTCTGCGCAGCTCCATCCTCACCGGTATCCCCGCCGGCTCCTACGGCTCCGGCAACGACTACATGGAGTCGCGCTTCCACGTGCAGAACACCCCGTTCCCCAACCTGTATTGGGCGACGTGCTCGTGGAACATGGGGGCCGCGTTCTGGCCGCTGATCTTCGTGCCGCTGACCGAGTCCTCCGGCCGGATGCCCGGCTACTTCGTGGCGTACATCATCCTGATCATCTCGCTGTTCCCGTCGGCGTTCGCGCAGAACTTCGCGACGCTGGTGGTGACGCGGTTCTTCGGCGGCGGGGCCTCCTCGGTCTCGATCAACATCGTGGGCGGTAGTATCAGCGACGTCTGGTACGGGGACCGGGCGCGCAGCCTGCCCATGTCGCTGTTCGGGCTGACCAGTGTCATCGGCATTGCGCTGGGGCCGTTCATCGGGTCGGCGATCGTGCAGATCCACAAGGATGATCCTTGGCGATGGATCTTCTACATCCAAATCATCTACCTCACCGGCCTCCTCCCGATCTTCTGGTTCATCCTCCACGAGACCCGCGCGGACGTGATCCTCAAACGGCGGGCCAAGAAGCTCCGCAAGGAGACGGGGCGCCCGATCTACGCGGAGGCGGAGCTGGACAACACGAGCGTGTGGCGGCTGCTGCAGATCTCCTTCGAGCGGCCGACGCGCATGCTGCTCACCGAGCCCGTCGTCATTTTTTTTACGTTGTGGATCAGCTTCGCCTGGGGCATTCTGTACCTGTTCTTCAGCTCGGTGGTGCAGACCTACTCCACCAATTACGGGTGGGGCACGCTGGCCACGGGCCTCATCCAGCTGGCCATCTCGGTGGGCGCCGTGATCGGCACCGCCATCAACCCGCTCCAGGACATGTTGTACCTCAGGTCGGCGAAGCGCAACAAAGAGATCCCCGGCCGCCCCATCCCGGAAGCCCGGCTGTATACCTCCGTGATCGGCAGCCTGCTGTTCGCGGGCGGGCTGTTCTGGTACGGGTGGGCGAGCTTCCCCTTCGTGCATTGGATCGTGCCCACGTGCGGCATCGCGGCGGCGGGACTGGGGATCTATTCGATCTACATGGCCGTGGTGAATTACCTGACGGATGCGTATGAGAAGTACGCGGCCTCGGCGCTGAGTGCCGCCAGTCTGGGGCGGAATACCTTCGGCGCGTTCTTGCCGCTGGCGAGCTATGAGTTGTTCGATACCTTGGGGTTCGGGTGGGCCGGGTCGTTGTTGGGGTTCATTGGGCTGGCGTTGTCGGTTGTGCCGGTGGTGCTGATCCTCAAGGGGCCGGAGATCCGGAGACGGAGTCCGTTCATGCGCGAGTCGACGTTCGGGGCCGACGAGGAGGTGGAGTTTGAGAAGGAAGAGCAAGATGTTGAGGGGGAAGGGGGCAGAGAGAGGGTGGTCACGATGAATGAGACGCGGCATACGGGGTTTCCGCAGCATGATGTCAGGAGGGAGAGGATGCGGAGGGGGAGGACGGAGAGTGGGCAGTGGGGGGAGGAGGAGGTTCTTGGGGAGGGGTCGAGGGCTTGATTTTTGCTTGTGTGTTTGTAACTATATGGGATATCATGGATTGGCATGGGTTTGGATCGGATCTCTGGGTTGGATTGGGTTGGGCAAAAGTCTGGGTTCAGTTGTATAGTTTCTTCGAGGTCGGTCGGTGGTATTTAATCTGCATGTACAGTATATTACGTGGACAGACTAGACCCCTGCGCAATAGACATATTGCCTAATCACAGCCTCACCACCTGAATACATCCGCCTCCCCTATCCAACCCTATGACCGGAACAGAGTAGAAAGCCTACGCATAATTCTGATGCCAAACATACCCCCCCTGCCCCCCCTCCCCCCTGGCACCCCTCAACAACTCCTCAATCCTCACCGACGCCCGCGTCGGCTCCCTCCCCAGCACCTCGGCCATCAACCCATCCGAATCCACCACCGCCTCCCCCTTCGCGATCCCCTCATGCCACGAGACCATCGCCTCAAAGAATCCCGCCGCCTTGCCGCCCTCATCATCCGCCGCATTCCGGGCCACGTACTCGGCGGCCGGAACAAACTCCACCCCGACTTCCTTACCGTCCTGGCAGTGGTGGGCATTGATCAGGTCCACAATCTGCTGGAACGACAGCGTCTCCCTGGCGCTGAGCACGACGATCTGGTCGCGGTAGGCGGCCCCGCTCCGCAGGAGGAGGCGCGCGGTGGCGTGGCCGAGTTCCTCGCGCGAGGTGAAGGTGATTCGTTGGGTGTGGGCTAGTTCTGCTGGATTCGGGTCGGATTGTGTGGTAAATGTTGGGGGCTGGGGGAGGATGATGGTTTGCGTGCTGGGGTACCAGTTGAAGTAGAGGGGGAAGGCCTCGGTGTATAGGCCTTCGCGGATGGAGGTGTAGGGGACTCCGGAGCTGGATTGTATTAGACTGGGTGGTGGACTGAGTTTGGGATAGGGCTAGGTAGATAACAAGGGGCAAGGGGGCAATGGGCAATGGGCAATGAGCAATGAGCAAGGGACAGGGAGCATACACGCGCAGCATCTCCTCGGTCATGTAATGCGCTTGCTGGACGGCGACCTGCGAGGTCGAGGTGTGGCCGCCGAAGGCGAGGGAGGTGTACCATATCTATTTTCCTGGTGTTAGTGCCTCGTGTGGGTTGGGGATTGCGGTGGGGGAGGGGGGAATGGAGTTGTATCTCCCTAAGAGAAGGCCAAGTGGAGAGGAAGGGTACCCTACATGCTTCACCCCCGCCCGCTTCGCGGCGTCCACCACATCCTGATGCTGTCTCCGGCGCCGCTCGTTGTCGAAGGTGTTGGAGCTGACGAAGAATAGGTTCTCCACCTCCTGGAACGCGGCGTCCAGCGTGCTCGGGTCGTCGTAGTTGACGACCCGGAAGGCGAGGCCCTGGCGCGTGAATTCGTCCGCTTTGGCGGGGTTGGAGGAGGCGACCGCGTAGGTCGAGGGCTCGACGTGCGCGAGGAAGTACTCGAGCACGTGCGCGCCCAGGCCGCCGGTTACGCCGGTGAGGAGGTATTGGACCATTCTTTCTGGGGGTGATGATTAGGAGGTGAGGATGGGGGGTTATTCAATTACTGGCAGTTGTTGATGATGCTGGTTAGGGTTATATATATAGCTGATTAGATTAGATTGAATTTGGCGGATGGCTGATAAATCAGACGGATTGGTCATCCGTGCTGACGCGGTGTGGCTTGCGGTCGCATGATGGTGAGACAGACTGAAGACAAAATCTAGGAAGTTGTGGAAGATTGGGGTCTTAATTGGTGAGTGAATTTGGCATGTTGCAGGTAGAGATGTTGCAGGCTGATTCAGTAAGGTTATAGAGCTACCGCATGAGCTTGGTGGTCGTGCGGGATGGATGAGATACCTGTTGTTCTGAGTGATCTTGATCTAGAGCGTTTGGGGTAAATCTCGCGGTGGGATGTCAGCCTGCCTAATTTCAGCGGAAAATTGTGCCAGTTGCATAATGACTATCGTTCGAAATGTCAGCATGCCTGAGCTGTGGAGGATGTGCCTGTTCCTTACTACAACTACCATTGGCTGTGACGGGCATAGCTACAATACAACGAGACCACCGGCCATTCTGGTGACATATCCATTCGTCAAATTAAGTAAACAAGGCTATTCACTTTTCTCATCATCGTCAGGTATCATGCACCGATCCATTACTCCGGCATGTGCTTGAACGGCTTGGCCAGGTGCTCCTGGCAGAAGGGCAGCTTGCTGACCGTCCAGATCTCCGTGTCCTGCTTACGTCAGACCACCACCCACCCAACCCACAATGATAGGTGCCATGAACATACCGGCTTCAGCGTCTTCTTGATCTCCGTGTCCAGCGTGCCCGCCTTGATGGCGATGATCTCCGGGGCGGCGTCCGGGTCATGGGCGATGGGCGAGCCGCACTCGGAGCAGAAGATGCGGTGCACCGCCTTACCCGACGACCCCAACCCCGCCCAGCTCTTGGTCGGCCCGTTGATCGTGAGCTTGTCCTTAGGAACCACCGCGACCAGCGCTATCGAAATTAGCATTAATATGCACTCGGTTGAATTCCCGCCAAAAAAAAAAAAAAAAAAAAAAAAAAAAAAAAAAAAAAAAAAAAAAAAACGACGTACAGTAGGTGGAACCGCTCTGACGCTGGCAATCGTCGCAGTGGTCGTACCCGACCAGGGCGGGCTCCTCCACCTCGATGGTGTAGGTGACGGCTTTGCACAGACAGTGACCGGTCAAAGGCATTTTGAAGGCTGTGATTGGTGATTGGTGATTAGATCAGATTGCAACAAAGACAAGAGTTGGCGAGCAAGGTTCTCAATGAGGACCTTTGGGGTCTGCGAGGTCGTGGAGTATTTATAAGGTAGGCAGCTCGCAGTTCGCAGCTCTTCGTGTTTTGTTGTTCTCGGCAGATCAACTCATTGACGACATGGCGGGGTTGCGATAACTTTAGTTGGGGGGGGGGGTTCACTTGCGTCACTTGGCAACTTTCCCTCAACCTGATTGACCACTCTTACCTTACTCAGTATGGAGAAATCAATATTCCAAATACGAATGATACGAATGATACGAATTGGGTCTCACTGCCTCACTTGCACGGATGCACTGATGCACTGATTTGTCACGCTCCATAGCTAGTTAGGAAAAGCTCTCTCTCTCAGCCAATGGGTCGCAGGTTGGCAGCTGTTGTGGCCCCCGCGATAAGAGTCAAGGTTTCACGCTAACCATCCCCCCTCTCCCCTCATCCTCCGCTGTCATTCTCCGCGCCCAAGTATTTGGAATTTGGATTATTTTCTGTCGTGTTTCGGCAGGTCTCCGATCGTCGATGATTGGATTCTGAGGTGGAAGGATCTACAGCGGGTCCATGGCATGGATATCAGCCTCTTTGTTGAGCTGCAAGCTGCAAGCTGCATAAACCGGGTCTAGAGCGGTTGACCAGTTGCCGAGTTTGATAACGTGCGACAATGCGGTCGCTCAGGCTGTACCACTTTGGGGACCATGCAGTGCAGTGCAGTGTACTGTACTGCTATGCAATGCATACTGGGGTGCCAAGGGCCGATGCACAGGAAAATTGATCTCTGCAGGTGGCTGCAGTCGCTGATTGGCTCCTTCCTTCTTTAATGCTGCACGGCGCATTTGGAAGCTGGATTATGTCCGCAGAGTACTCGGCTGTTAGCAACAGGCCGAGATGTTGCGTTTGCTATGAGACTGGACCGAGCATTTGGCTCGATTTCGGGGAAAAAAACGCTGATGCAGCGCTGTGCTTGAACAAGATGGGTCCAGCCCGCCCCATACCCTACCCCTGGTGCTGCTGTCACTGAGCCGCCGTCACTTTCAGCCCTAGGCTAGAGGGTCCTGACTCCCGAGTCATGTGGAGGGGACTCGCTAGCCAGGCTCATCTGATAGGGCCATATCAAGTGTAGGGTTTATGTTATGCAGATGCTTGTCTGCTGCTTGGAAACCTACGAACTACGAACTACGAACTACGGACTCAGGTGGATATGGTAGTACAGGAGGAGACCTCCTTAGATTAGGAGGACGAGAGAGCGGTGCAGGTGCAGGTGGACGTGGCGGCGGAACCAGGAGGGGTAGCGGCGGTTGATGAGGCGGTCTGCTTGGTACAGGGAGGCAGGGATGGTTGCCAAGATGGGGAGGTATGTCGTGAGGTACGTGGGGAGGTTCATGGTCTTGTGGTTTTGGTTGTTGAGTTTTTGGTAGTTGGGATCGAGGATGGTCGGTGGAGGATGAGATGGTTAGGATGATATCTATGAAGATGGCTATGAGGAAGGTTGAGGAAGGTCGTAGAAATAAACATAGAAAAAGTGGGTGGTTAGTTGTGGTTTGGATTGGAGGATTCAAAGAAGTGGTAGTTGTACGGTCTGTTCTGAGGCGATGGCTTCTGAGATGAAAAGGTAGGGGCCATACTTATCTTCATGTCGTCAGGTTGAGGGCTTTGAGGGGCCTTGCTGGGGATGAAGATGTTTGCTCGAGGGTTCCGGTTGGGGAGATGGGATGAATGATTTGGTGAAGTTGTTACATAGCATGAAGGGGGCTTTTATATGGAGAGACTCGGTTTTTTCGGTTATCTTTCTGCATGGTCACTCGAGACCTGGGAATCTTCAGCTAATAAACTCCGTGCACTGATTGTAGCTGTGGTTTTTCTAGTAAGAAGCGAAGTTGCTTGCAACAAGATGAATATCGCATTTGACAGCGGGTCAATGATACAGTAGGAATCGAAGGTGCTGTTCAGGAAGGAGCAGGATACCTTAAGCGTCCTGGATCTTCAATTATAGGGAGGACTTGGATTGAAGATTTGGAAGACGACAGGCCCGAGTATTCTGTGGGTTAGTTGCTCTATGAGGCCAACGCTCGAGGAATTGATAGTCGTCGAGTCGGTACCTCTGAGTGAGATTATCACTGCCATCTAGGATCTAGCCAGAACACATCATGGGTGGTCTACTGTCTTTGTCAACCAATATGACTGGTGGTGTCATATACTGAGTAGCGCCAACGAGTACGGGCTCTCGAAAACCTCCCTCATCTATGGAAGGCACTGCGATAATGCAGAGGACATAGGATATAGTGACCCATTGTTATATGAGCAGTGACTGTGGACTCAGCCTTCATGTAGTCAATAGTATGAGTCCTATCTCAGCATGCTTACATACCTGATACTTCGAGTATCCTCTATTACATGCTGTCGCAAGATTGATAGATGGCCCGTACTAATAGGATGAGTATTCAGACTCTGGCCTGAGGCACCAGTCACAGCCGGTACCGGGCTCATTCAACCAATCAAAACAGTTTCTGTCCCGGTCCTCAGTCCTCACATCTCCGGTTCCGGATAGCATCTGGCTGCCATGCTCGATGATTTGCTTACTCTTGCGCGATCCATGAATAATATAATATTGACCATGTCATACACTATGCATGTCCTCATAGATGCTACAGTAAGTTTACCCGTGACTAGAGATCATGGTTCTGATTCTGGTATGGTCTAGATTCGCGATCGGACTGGAGGGGCCGATCCAAGTATATGAGGTAATAGAAAGAGCACGCGGCCTTACCTTCCTATTTGTATTAGACGTATGCGACACTTGATCGAGCGGCCAGCAGTACCCATAATACCTACTCATTGTTATATCGTCAGGTTGATACCTCAGGGGCTGCAACGACCCGGAGATTAGACATGGCATTATCTCCGGACGCTCCGCCGGCTAACCTCGCCCGCCGACATCCTCGACGTTCACAACAGCACAATCATCCCACCTCGCGGCGAAACTTCCGCAGCCTGAAGCAAACCGTCTTTTCAGTCATGGAAACACCATCAAGCTCGTGAGTACGTCTGAGCTAGTCTTTTGGCTCCACTAACAGCAATCCCAGGCCCGCACTCAGACGGGCCAAAAAAGCTTGCACCGAGTGTCGCCAACAGAAGGTATGGTCGCTCCATCGTTCCCACGCGATCTGCTCATACTTCTGCAACAGGCAAAATGTGACGCTTACATGAACCCCGATCTTCCATGCTCCCGCTGCATCAGGATGAAAACCCGTTGCGTCATCTCGGATCCATTTCGCAGAGAACACAAGCGCCAGTACGTTGCTCGTTGCTGAAACAGAACGACCAAGCTCTTACCGCTCGTATAGACGCCTCTCCGAGCTTGAACAGGAAACCGACGAATTGCGCCGGAAGTTGAGATGCGACCGTTCTGAATCGCTGCAGCAGTCTCCCATCGCCATGTTGACAGCAGCGGCGGAGATGGGAGTACATTCCACACCGGCCGCAGGGCACCTGAATCTTCCTCCTCAACCACACATCACCTCAAACCCTTATCACTCCCAGCTCACACCTCAAATGAGTCCGGCTTTGTCCTATCCCCAAATGCAGGTGGTGCCAGTCGAAGTGTCCGACCCTACAGAGCCGCGCACCTTGAAGACTGTCAAACTAACAGGGTCTGAAATCGACGAACTTTTCCGGCTGTACGTGGCCCAATCACGATAGCATAGTAATGCTCGAATCTGATTGAAAATAGGTTCTTCCGAGACTACGCGAGCTTTTTGCCTATCTTAGACCCTCAAACCACCCCGAATGCCTACCACGCCCAGTCGAATTTCCTTTTCTGGGCCATAATCGGTGTTGCGTCGAGATCATACACCGAGAACCCCACGCTGCTCATGGCCGTCTCACCAAGCATCACCGAGATGGCCTTGCTCTCAGTCACGTCGACCGCTCCCGCTTGGCACACCATTCAAGGGCTGTTGCTGGTCCTGACTTGGCCCTTTCCGAAGGAAACCAATAAAACAGATGTGATGTTTCCCCTCAGCGGCATGCTCCTGCACATTGCAATGCAGAACGGATTGCACATCCCTTTGTCGAGTCATGAATTTGCCAAGAGAAAGATACCTGCCCCATCGGAAGCAGACATGGCCAGACGGGCCGAGCTGTGGGCACGCTGTGTCATCGTATATCAGCGGTAAGCTACTCCGCGAATCTCCAGACGGAATTCTGATCATTGGTAGTGCGTGCGTAACAAAAGGGCAATGCCCTCGGTCAATGGTAGACTTGCAGCAAGACCTGGGTCAGCAACAAGTTTTATCTCAGAAAATTGCCCCATCTCTGGCACTGGAACTCAGATGCCTAGAGCTGATCGCCCGATGCAGCGCAGCCGTATTGGAGTTTGGGGTTCGAACCATGTTACCTGAGCAGGAAAAGTCGTTTGATATTCTCTTGCGCACGTTCGAGCGCCAGGCAACCGAGCTCGAGGCCCTTGCAAACTCAGGTAACATGTTCAAACCTTAACATGCTGGCTCAAGACTGATGCTAGGCAGCGAACGATCGATTTCACACGACCATGTGTCGCTTGTGCGTCCAGATGTTCCATCTTTTTAAGAATCAGACCATATATACATCTGGCTGTCTCACACGACTTGCGACCACGGCATGTAGGACTATCGACTGTATCCAGGAACTTGGGCAAAACATGGCCAACCTTGCTAGTGCTCCAATGCAGATGACCTATGGGCTTCTTCTTCCGGCATCGGCGCTCCTGCGAATCCTCAAATGCTCCAACGATACTGATCTAGACATTGCAAGAGGAAAGAAGGCCCTCTTCAGTGCGATAAACATGGCTAGACACATGTCAGTGGATGTTCATGATACTGCGTCGAAAATCGCCATAGTCATGAACCAGCTCTGGAACAGCTCCAAGGTTTTCCGAAAAGCCGATGGGACTGGATTCATCGCACTCCGCATCCGCAGCCGCCTCGTCCTCAGCCCTGTTATCGATACGATCTGGTGGTGGCGCGATGAATTTGAGCCACAGTTCTATCCTTCTAGTGCAGCCCAAGCAACTGTGGCTGAAGGAGGTGTGTCGCTTCCCCCGCGATTCTATTGGCAACCTGCCCACTGACTCGGAGATAACAGCCGACTCTACTAGTACCCAGATAAGCGGACCGTCCAATGCTCCCTGCGGTCTTGTGGACCGACATGATCCCGTGTTGTTCGACGAACAGTTCCTTGCAGACTTTGAATGGGCACTAAGCAACGACGGCCTCCTGCAACCGACCGAGCCATATGGGTCAGCCTGGCCTGCCGCAGGGACGATAGCCTAGACCCGATCGCTCAGAGCACCTAGCATCGTTACCATACACACGTGTGTATGCCGTCTCAGAGGCAGGCCGCCACAGATGCCAAGCGGGCGGGATCGAAGACGGGAGAGATGAACGTCCTGCAAGCGAGCTTGCGCCACCGATACCACAGCATAGGGACATTATTTTGCCGACCAGATCAGCAGCTCATTGCTTCCGACCCCAGCACGCTAGTATCGAGCACCATGCACCTTCATTATGGCCGAAGTGGTCACCCACGTGTAGATGAGCCTGACGTCGTTATCGCGAGCCCAGCCAATTGGCCCAGGTTCAGGTTGTCGTTATCATCCTCCGTGCGTAGGCGACGATTACCGAATGGCACCCCTGCCCACCCGTAACAGACTGCGTTCCCCGCGACTTGAGCCAGAAATCGAAGCATCGGACATCGACCTTCTAATCACAAGTACAAGCCGGGCTAGTCCAAGGGGGGCAGAAACACTTGGCGAATATGCACCGAAGAAGCGGTGTCCGTGCCCAGGAGGCAACGGAGATGCCCGGAATGGGAAGTAGGAAGGCAGGATGGTGTGTGAGACATGATGCATGAGATACGAAGTAGCCACAGCATAACCGGCTAGGCCAAGGGGGCGAAATCCTCTATGCCTGGGAAGCCGTCCGCACTTTTCCACGCTTACGTCTCAACTAAGACTAATATTCTCCGACATCCGAAGCTCTAAGTCAGAGTCCGACAAATAACATACAAGACCAAAGTGCCTGAGTGTGTCCATGACCATACGGCAGCATTGCGTGAGGTCAGTGTCCGATTAGGTCACCCTCAGCTAATTCAGTGTTTATGACTGTATCCATCCCTTACTGACAGGAACCAGCAGGGATGGGCCAAGATCAAATGCAGCGGCGCCTGGGGCGGAGGGGGGTGGGGGGGGAAAGATGTAGGTACGGAGTATCTACGGAGGAAGTGAGGAATTGCTCCGGTGCTCCGACAGGTTAAGTCAACCTAACTTATCAAACGTATCACGCGTCGCATATCGCCCGTCATAAATATTACCCAATACCTTCCAATACCTTCCGGAACCGGCTAAATCAATCTTACAACAATCTTTCCCGGAGCTGACCGCCTTCACAGTTCTTATCGCTGGCTTGTGAGGTGAGACCTCTTTCGACCACTGCCTGAAGTCTTCTCGCCAGAGACCCAGTGTGGGATTCGATAGACATCTCTCTAAAGCTCTCAGGCCTCTCAATCGAAATTCCCGAGCTTGCTGCTCCATCCTCATCGAGAAGTGTGGTGGTGTCAGTGGCGTGTGGAGGTTGTCCCGAACATCGGAACTCTGCACGGAAGACCGACCTGAAAGGATGGAACAATCCCTGCCTAGGCCAACTGGCTGCATTAAGACTTCTGGGAGCGAAAGCCAATAATTAGCCAAGCTGAAGGGAGTCTAAGATGGGTGGCTTGACCGGCCTACTCCGGATTGGTGCGCACCAACTAAGAATGAGTCCAGGGCGCCTCGCTAGCTTATCGTGAACAAGCCTGAATCAAAAAGGGGGATAGTGCGCCCGTCCACAATGTCTGGCTGACCTGGGGAAAAACTTCACTTATCAGCGTCCGCTGCAGCGTTACATCTCGACCATTCATGCACGCGGGGAGTAGCTCTGTTACCCCCACCCCTTTCAGTTCTTCTTGAAAGCCATCTTGCCACCGAAGGCGAACCTACATTGTTGATCCAATTGATACAGCTCTCCGATTCCGCTAGCCTCCCCTCCTTCCCACCCACAGATCGGAACCCAATTGATAATACGGTTTATCTGGTGATTGCATTTTGGGCTGAATTTAGAGTGATATCCGCTAGAACCTCGGCCCCCGGGTCAATGCATTTGGCGGCCGCCATGATAGCCTCCCTCCCCGTCTTCCCCCTAGTCAACTTCAGTCTCTAGCAACCTCAACTCCCCACTCTTGGCAGTTGGATTTCCACTGAAATTGTCCCCGTGACTACGTAAAACCACCCTTCTCTGGTTCGGCAAGTGAGTCACTGTCACTACTACTGTTCACCGGTCTTTTTTTCTGGTTCGAAGGGCGCGGTGACGCGAACGCTGCAAGCGAAGCTGATATGGAAGGGCGGGATGGGAAGGGCCGTGCAGGTGGCACACGCCTTACGCATGGCCTGACCATGTTCAAAGTCTACTTTAGTCTCCCCCGGTTTTCGTTAGCCAGTAGCCAGCAATCTCCATGATTGGGAGATGCCTGGCCAGTGTGTTAGTGGTAACTAAGTGGTAACTTAGTGAATACGTACCAGGTAACACTAGCACATGGCAAACGAACTGGGGTACCACTAAGGCTGGCTGATAGCCGCAAGATAGCCTCGACCACATTCACTGGCCGTTCCTATCAGCGATTTAATCTAATTATCGATTTTCGCCATCGATAAATTCACCGGGCTACCGTCGGCCTTCACTGCATATCGCATGGTGGCTAGCCAGGATTGGAAGGTCGTATGGGCTGTATATGTACCTGCCTTCCTCCGCCTGTTCGTCGTCCCTCTTTCTTGATTCTCTCCTCCAGATCAACCTCAACTGTCTACTTGTTCTTACTGAGTCTCTCGTCTCTCAGTCGTTAGCTCCTCTTTTCACCCTTCACCCTTGCTCTGTGGCTTACAAACCACCACGATGCAGGAGAAGGAAGTGGCCTACTCCACCGCGGTGGCTGATGAGGCAGCCTCGGAGGAGACTGCCGTCCACCTCAAAAACCTGAAGCTACAGCATCAGTGGGACCCCAACCTCCCCGATGAAATCGCTGACGAGATCGATGAAGCCCTCCACACGACCGACAAGGGGGCGCGCGAGGGCATGGCCCATGAGCTGCTGGACGACTCGCCCTACCCCGAAGTGCGCGCTGCTGTGCCCAACTACGACGAGGGTGGCCACACCAACACCATCCGCGCGTGGACCATCGGTCTGATCTTTGCCACCATCGGTTCGGCCCTGAACATGCTGTTCTCCATGCGTAACCCCTATATTGTCATTCCCTCCTATGTCGCCCAAGTCGTCGCCTACCCAGTGGGTGTGTTCTGGGCCAAGGTCATGCCGAAAAAGCAATTCAGTCTATTTGGACGTCAATTTAGTCTCAACCCGGGCCCCTTTAGCAAGAAGGAGCATGCCCTCATTGTCATCATGGCCAACGCAACTTTCGGTGGTGGTGCTGCCTATGCGACGGACGTCCTGTTGGCTCAACGTGCCTTCTATAAGCAGTCTTTCGGATGGGGGTTCGAGATCCTCATGTGTATCTCGACGCAGATGCTCGGGTTCGGTATGGCGGGATTCTTCCATCGGTTCTTGGTGGCTCCAGCCGCTATGATCTGGCCTTCCAATCTTATTAACTGCGCCCTGTTCACGGCGCTTCACGACACCCGCACGCCGGACCCGTCCAAAGTCAATGGATGGCGCATTGGCAAGTACCGCTTCTTCCTCTACGTGATGATCGGGTCCTTCTGCTGGTACTTCTTCCCGGGTCTCATTGCGCCGTTCTTGAGTATCTTTGCCTGGGTCACCTGGATCAAGCCCCAGAGCCCGGTCGTCAACCAGCTCTTTGGCGGCTCGACTGGGCTGTCGCTGATCCCCATGACCTTTGACTGGACGCAAGTTTCGGGTTTCAACTTCAGTCCCCTTATCGCCCCCTGGCATGCGATCGCCAACACGCTCATTGGTATGGTGATCTTTTTCTGGATCGCGACGACTGGCATCCATTACAGTGGCACCTGGTTCGCCGAGTACCTGCCTATTAGCGACTCCAGCAGTTACGACAACACGGCTAATACGTATAACGTCAGTCGCATTATGACGCCGGAGTTCACCCTTGATTTGAAGGCATACGAGGAATACTCCCCGCTGTTCCTGTCCACGACCTTCGCCCTGTGCTATGGTCTCTCTTTTGCTACTATTATTTGTCTGCTCGTCAACACCGGTCTCTTCCACGGCAGTGAGCTCTGGGTGCGCTTCCGCAACTTCGGTAAGGAGGAGGAGGATGTCCACGGCCGCCTGATGGCTCGCTTCAAGCCGGTCCCGCTCTGGTGGTACGGGGCAGTGGTGTTGTCTATGATTGGCATTGGTCTTGGAGTTGTTTTGGGCTATCCGACCCACTTGGACTGGTGGGCATTTTTCGTGGCCTTGATCATTGCTGTGGTGTGGTACGTGCCCATCGGTATCATCCAGGCGTCTACCAACATTGCCCTCGGGTTGAACGTCTTGACCGAATTTATTGTCGGGTATATCCAGCCGGGTAAGCCCATGGCCATGATGCTGTTCAAGACCTACGGGTACATGAGCATGTACCAAGGGCTGTATTTCAACCAAGACATGAAACTAGGTATGTGCAATTTGCTTATGTGTCGAATGCGAGATGAAGCCCACCGACTAATCGTCTGAGCAGGCCACTACATGAAAATCCCCCCTCGTGTCTCCTTTTCCGGACAGATGGTTGCCGCCTTGTGGTCCTCTATCGTGCAGATCGCCGTCATGAACTGGGGTCTCGCGACCATCAAGGACGTCTGCAGCCTGGATCAGGTCAACCACTACACCTGCCCCAACGGCCGTGTGTTCTTCAATGCCTCGGTCATCTGGGGCCTCATCGGCCCCCAGCGGATGTTCTCCCCGGGTCAGATGTATGTTAGTCTGCAATGGTTCTGGTTGGCGGGCGCGTTGCTGCCCGTGATCATCTACCTCGCCGCTCGGATGTGGCCCAAGTCCAACATCCGGTACCTCAGCGCTCCCCTGATCTTCGGTGGCGCCGGTCTGATCCCCCCGGCCACCCCGCTCAATTATCTCACCTGGGGTGTTGTGGGTATGATCTTCAACAAGTACATCCGCGACAAGTTCCGCGGCTGGTGGATGCACTACAACTACATCTTGTCCGCCGGGCTGGATGTGGGATTGGACTTGTGCACCATCCTGATCTTCTTGACGATCGACCTCACCGGCGCGAGCTTCCCCGAGTGGTGGGGCACCCGCATCGCCAGTGGTACCATGGACACAATGGGTACGGCCATCCAGAAGACGGTCAACGGAACCTTTGGTCCGGCGACCTGGTAGTGCGAGCGAGCTGCGGCGGGTACACCGTCCATAGGTCGGTAACCTTCGTTGTTGAATCGTGGCGGAGGGGTGTTTTGGCGGAGCAACGGCCGAGAGAGAAAGTGCAAGCCCGCCGGTGGACCTGGCTGGGGCTGTGATTTATGATCCCGACGACTTATCTCACTGTATTATGATTATGTGATAATTCCTAATTCTATCTGTTGGTGATCTTACATGGTTGAGCTGTCTCATCGTAGGGCACTTTTTCTTGATTGTCATATTGTAATGTTTTGTGACCCAATAGTTAACTCAACCTCCCAGCTGCGACTTCTCGCGCATCGCCCGGAAGCATTCAGCAACACGAAAAAAGGCCTCCTTCGGCACCCATCGAGGCATTCCCACCCTGTTCTCCTCCTGATGCCCCTTCTCCTCCTCCGGAAGGTACTTCACCAACGAGAAACACATCATATCGAAATCTCTCGCCCCGACCCCGGCCGGCATACAGGGAAACGCAAACACATAGACGAAGACGGCGTCCACCTGCGCCTCGGCCCTGGCCAGCAACCCCAACTGCGTCTCGAGGTAATCGGCTTGCTCGCGCTCGCTCCGCGTCGGGACGATGTCCCCCTCAAACACCCCGCTCCCATCGGGATTCCGGCCCTTGAGCAAGGCGAAGCCGCCATCGCCGCGGACGGCCGCGCCCTCGTACGCACAGCATCCGACCTCCATCACCACGAGGGGCTTGTGTTTCTGCTTGTTGTTGCTGTTAGGGTCGGAGTCGACCACGCGGTGCCGCTCCAGCCCCGCGAGATATTCCGAGGCCGTCTCGCCCCGCCGGTAGTAGTCCACCCCGACGAGATCAAACAGGTCCCAGTCCACGGCCTCCCAGGTGCCCGCGGCGTAGGTGACGGGCCCGTGGAAGTGGGTGCGAATTTCGGTCATGAAGGTGCGGAGCGCCGCGTTCAGGAGCGGAGCTTTGGCGAGGACGGGGAGTGGGATTGCGGGGCCACTGTCGGTAGTATCGGTTGTTGTACTGGCATCACCATCGCCCCGACCACCGGCTGTAGCAGCAGCAGCAGCAGCAGCAGCAGCAGCAGCAGCAGCCAACTGCCCCCCAAACCATCCCGCCCGCTCCTCGAACGTCTCCCCCGGAAACACCCCGCGACTGAAGATACTGTACTCGCACCCCGCCACGAAGACGAGGTCGGTCAGTCCGTCGTGCACGCGGAGCTGCTCGGCCACCTTCGCGGCGGCACGGAGGTACCGGCTCGTCTCGGGGACGTCGGCGTGCATCTTCCACGGGTTGAAGTAGACGGTTAGCCCGGCGGCGTGGGCGAGGCGGGCGGCGGTCGCGAGGCGGTCGAGGGGCTCGCCTTCGAGGCGGACGGCGGTGGCGTGTAGGGTTTCGGCGATGGTGTGCATGTCGTGAGCGACGTGGGTGGGGTTGAAGGTGGGGATGGAGAGGGTTTGGGGGGTGGTGTTGGTGAAGTTGAGGCCTACGTCGTAGACGATGCCGGGGTGGGGCATTTTGGTGGTGGTGGTGGTGGTGGTGGTGGTGATTCGAGGGAGGCTTGGAAGGTGAAGAGGTGGGAATGGGTTGGCTAGGAAGTAGGAGAAGTGTAATTGCAAGTGCAAGTGCAGGTTGAAAGTGTTTTGCTTGTGCTTCGAGGGAATATATACATGCCCTCTGCATACTCTGTATAGGGTTGAGACCCGGACAGCGCAGTCTTGGCGTTCCGATCTCCGTCTCCGTGAAATTTCTCTCCGCCTCCGGCTCGGCTGTCCCCGGCTCGACTTCTCTCTGACACCCATTGTGTGGATGGACAATAACTGGGGCAACTTGTGCTCGCGTGCGTGCTCGAGTACTCATGTCTGACGTCCTCGGTAGTAGCAAGAGGGCAAGAGAGGAAGATCTGGAGCAGGATCACCCCGAGGTGGAGAAGGTGGCTGTATGGTTCTCAGGCCCTCTACCGGGTGGCGAGTGCAGGGCTGGATGCTAACGCTTTCCTAGTGCGATCGATGTCGTCAGCGGAAGGTGACTAGTCTTGGAAATTCACACTTTCACACCTTAGAGTTAAGCACTGATGCGTGTTGGTAGACCAAGTGCGATCGGGTCAACCCCTGTGTGCAGTGCCTCCGAACGGGGTCGGACTGTACATACAACCGGGGACATCAGCTCAGAGAGAAGCGACAACGCGTTCTTATTTCTAGTGTCTAGTAAGTTCCTAACTCTCTCGATAGGGTACAATCATTGACGGACAACAGCGAGCGGAGACTGGAGTACATTGCGAATAAGCTTGACCACCTTGCAGAGGTCGTTGGTCGACTGAGCCATGAGCACGCCGGCCGTGCAACGCCAGCCGGACTGCGTTTGCCATTGCAGCCCTCCTCTCACCAACCCAGTCAGTCATATTCTTCTGCTCCGACACAGGCGGAAGGCATCGAATCCACCCTTTTCGCCCATGTGATCTACACTGCGAAATGCCTCCAAGCGGCAGTGATGGACCCCCGTCTCCCCCATAGCGATGCCCGCGAATTGACTCACGCGCTGAATAGCCTGTGGAGCACGATAGCTGCACAGAAGCAACAGAACCAGGCCCTAGAATCCTCGCAGCCATTTGCCAAGGTATTTCTCCAAAGCTCGACCGCAGACTTCAGAGACCTGCCGATCCCCTCCCTAGACCGGATCATGGCATGCTTGAGACTCGCTCACGGTGCGTGCACTTTCCCCCCCCCTTTTCAGCGGCAATCGTTCCAAGACTAAACAAATTGTCAAAGAGTGCTCGCCCAGTCGGCTCTATTGGCCCTTCGAGTTCGGATCCCTGGGCGACTTCACCCACTACGTGATCCGAGCGTGCTCGCCGGGCCCGATCACCGAGATGGAGCTGGTCATTGTGCACTACGTTCTTGCCTGGCTGTTCACCGAATGTGCGAACCTCACGGGAGGCGACCCCCTGCTCAAGCAGGACTACGAGGTCCAGGCCCTCATCTGCCGACAGAGTCTGGAAACCCTTCTTGGTAGTCTGTCCTTTCATGTAGCCACGAGCTTGGACGCTGTGTGTGCTATGTACATGGCTGTATGTTCGTTCCGCATCCTTGTTTACGGTCCGTTATGTAATTTGCTAAGTTTCCCAATCTCGCGGTAAACAGACGATTCACTGTCTCCAGCACGGCAAACCTTTCACCGCGTGGTCCTTCATCACCCGGGCTGCACTCATCAGCCAGGCCCTCGGATTACACAGCCGTCATGCCACCATGGGCCTGGCTGGACTTGAAGAAGCCGAAGAGGATGACGATAATGAAAAGCAGCGGAAGACGCTCCTCTTCTGGGCTGTCTACGTCCTCGAGAAAGCTCTCGCCCTGCGTCTGGGCCGCCCGTCCACGATCCACGACGCCGACATCACACTGCCCAAACTCCGTCTCGACCGCCGGATGGCCTCCCTCCTCCACAACCGGCTGCCGGACTGGATCGAGGTGGCCGGTCTGTACGGACGGGCGTACGACGAGATCTGTAGTCCGAAGGCACTGGCGCAGACGGCGGATGTGCGGGAGTCGCGGATCCGCGCTGTGGCGCGGGAGTGGGAGGGTGTCATTGCTGCGAGGGGGGAGTTGTATGTAAGTTACCTCCCCCACCAAATCCATCATCTACCTTGGTCCGGTTAGAAGAGGCGCTTCAACTGATTTTCATCCTGTCTCGCGGTGAGCAGAAACACCCCGACCAATGGACCAGCCATGTCCTTCCCCGCGGACTGAGTGAGTTCATCGTCCACGCCAACCGCGCAACCGAGTACTCGGTCCTGGCGTCGATCCATCGAGCTATCCCTTCAGGCAAGGAAACCCAATCTCCAGCGCCTTTCTCTTCCATTAACGGTGCAACGAAACCCAATCCGGAATCCCTCGCTGCAGCAAGACTCTCCCTCGCCGAGACAGACGCCTGCATCGCCGCCACGTTCGCCGCCGACGCCGCGACGTGGTTGTCTTCCCCTGCCTTCGATACCTGGGTCACCGAGAACTTGCTGGTTGCGCCGATCATGCCGTTCTTGATTCTGCTCGGCGGGCTCGTGCACTCGCCTTGTGCGGAGGAGTCGGATCTGGATGTCCTAAGGCGGATCGTTGATGGCGTGGGTCGGATGGAGCGGGTGGCCCGGTACGCGCGGTGTCGGAAGTATGGCCGGGTTTTTCGGGCCTTGTATGATGTTGCTGCTGCGTTGGTGGCAGTGAGAGGTAAAGAGAGGATAGATGTGTATAGTGGAGAAATGGGAGTTGGTGTTGGTGAGGGAGGGGAGTTGAGTGGGCTGGGGGATCTGGATGCATTTTTGGATTGGAGTGGGGGTGAATGGGGGTGATTGTATTGTGTCTTCCCCAATACCATAGACACTACACGGAGACAGGTCCGGAGTTCTCTTTCTTCTTTCTTTCCTTCTTTCTTTTTTTAAAGAAGGAGCTATCAACATCTCACTGCCAAATCGCTAACCCCTGGTGGACAAGTACTCTGGTTGAAACCCCTGGGATTGATGTCTTTGATAGTGTTTTGGCTATAGGTACGAGAAAACCCTTGACACGTCTACATCAAACTCGCCATGGAGTTCTAGCTATGGAGACACAAGAAATAGTACTAGATAGGATTCCCCCGCGTATCAACCGGCATCTCCCTCCCCGACCCCAAGCGCTTGGATACGCGACGATCAATGGGCCCGAACCTGGCCTCCCGAATCCGGCCAAAACTGCGACTATACCAGTCCACAACCTGCTGATCAGCACAGTCATCCAGCGCATCATTGTCCACCTCCAAATACCCACCCATTCATCATCGCCACGCAGCACCGCAGGTCCTCGCCCCACGCCGAAAAGCCCGTGGCGGATTCCTCCTCAACCGCAGCCCGGACAACGCTCTCCACCAGCGCTCGCTCCAGCGCGTAGTGTAGGTTACCGTAGCTCTCGTATCGCTGTGCTGCTGCTGCTACCGTCGCACCTGTCTCATGACGGGGAGCCTCCTGCCACCGCCAACCATCAAAAACATGCGCGAGCGAGTTCGGAAACAGGTACAGGTACAGCTGCATGTCCTTGTCCTTTGGGTCGTCGTTCGGATAATCGAACACGGCGCACGAGCGATCCACGCGGTGGTAGCCGGCGTTGATCTGGGTCAGCATCTGCTGGGGGCTGGGGTGGCTTGCTATGATGGCGGGGTGGGGGTTGCGGTTGGGCACGCTTCGTGTGAACCCGGCCTTCGCTAGGCGGGATTGCGCGATGGGGTAGTCGGCGTCCTGGACTACGATCATGGGGGCCTACTCACGGATTTCAGAAAGGAGAGGAGGGAGGGGGTGGTGGGGCATGGGCATGGGGTTTACGTACCCCAACTCCGACGGGAACGCCCAGATACCACATCGCGAGTGCGCTCCAGGGAATCACGGGGATCGGTTGGAGCATCTTGCTCAGGCGCAGGGAGAGGTTGTCGGCGGTGGTCTGGCGTGGGCGTCGGAACATGGTTGTCGTAGATGGTGGGTTCTGTTCTTTCTTGCGGAGAGACTGGTTGTCTTTCTTTATAATATTTGGGAGGAGTTGGATGATACATCGTTGAGGATGTTTGTGTGACGTAGGTTGTGTTACGTATTATTCAGGAGATTTGGGGAATTGGTTGAGGGCTGGTTAAGCCGGTGTCTGTCTTGCCACGTCTTCCATGCATGATTTACTGGCCTTTCGATAAATTTACCTCGGATATGACCAGGATACAGCTTTGTATACCCCGTCTGGGTTCCTAGTGTCTTGTATAGTATACCAAGACATTATACCTACTTCTCATATTTCCTTTCCTGCATTTCCTTCCTTTCTTTCTCTACCAATTTTTCAACCCTTTCTTCTTTCTTTGCCTCTTCTATCGAAATGGGAATCGAGCGAGTTGAAATTATCATAATCCTACAAGAGGTGTGCCTATATGTGTTGTACACTCATTGCGTGTTGCATGTAACTGGCATGTATGAGTGCTGTTCAGCTGAAGTAAAGAATCCGCATAGATCAAAACCAGTTCCTCAATCTACTCTGGTGAACCAGAACACAATGCCAGCCGCACCCACTAAAACCCATACGTCGACCACTTGGCATCCACTTTATCCTGAATTTCCCGAGGATAGTTCCCCCGGTAAGAGGCCTCCTTATACGTGGGCACCTCGGAGAACTCACTGGCGAACATGCAGCAGCGCACGACCTTCACATGATTCGCCCCGGTCTTGGCCCCATGCGACACGTACGGGATCAGCCCGATGTTGGGGTACTGGTCGAAGAAGTACTCGTTGTCGCGGGGCTGGCAGCGGGTGGCGTTGGCCCAGATGACGTCGCGCAGGTTGGTGGGGTCGATGTCGTCGCCGACGAGGTAGATGATGGGGATGTAGTAGCCGGGCTTGGAGGCGAAGACGGTGTGGCCGACCTCGCGGCTGAAGGCCTCCATGGTGGAGCGGCGGGCGCGCAGCTGCGCGCGGTCGACCTGCAGCACGAACCAGAGGCAGTGCGACTCGAACGGGTTCCAGACCATCGTGATGGGCAGGCCGGCCTGCTGGCAGAGGGTCAGCACCTCGGCCGCCTGCGTCAGCCCCCAGACCGTCTCGCTCTCCTCGGGCGCGCGGCCCGTCACGCAGAGGGGCAGGATCGGGTCGCGGCGGTAGGTGATGGCGTCGATCCGGTGCAGCGGACACTCCTTCTGCTCCCCCGGGAAGATCAAGCCCGGGTACTCGGCCATGGGGCCCTCGAGCGCGGTCTCGGTGCGCGAGATGGACCCCTCGAAGACGATCTCCGCGTTCGCCGGCACCAGGATGTCGTTGGTTTCGGCCTGGGTCACCTCGACCGGCCCACCGATCAGCGCCCCGATGTACTCGCTCTCGTTGACCCCTTCGGCAGCGGCATCCCGCTCACCATGATCGCCGCGGGCGGTACCCCGAAGCACAGCGCGAAGGGGCAGTCCTTGCCCAGCTCGGCCCACATCTGCCGGATCACCCCGATGTCCTGCCGCGGGATCATCGGCCCCACCAGCGTGCGCTTGCCGTGCAGCATGCTGCGCGTGATCGACCAGTTCACCCACGCCCCGTCGGGGCTCTGCACGATGTACATGCCGAACGTCTGCAGGAACTTGCCGCCGTCGTCGGCGTGCAGCATGGGGATGGGCAGGGCGGTGAGGTCGATCTCATCGCCCAGCAGCTTGAACTCCTTGACGGGGCCCGTGGGGACCTCCGTCGGTGGGATCTGAGGCAGGTGCTTGGCGGCCCGGAACTTCTGGATGATCTCCTGTCCGGTGGCGGTGGCCGGCAGCCCCAGCGACTTGGCGATGCGGATGAACCGCTTGCCCGGCTGCTTGCTGGCGCCGACGGGGGCGCCCAGCACGCGGAACAGGCCGTTCGGGTGGCGCCCCTTGAGATTATTGAACAAGGGTGCTTTGTCTTCGGTCTCGTAGACCTTGCGTGTGATGGCTGCCAGCTCCAGGTCCGGGTCGACTTCTTCGTCGATGGCGACCAGGTCGTTCTCGGCTTGGAGGTCTTGGATGAAGCGCCGGAAGCTGGCGCAGGCGGGTTGGGTGGATTCTTGGGGGGTTGTTTCGGCCATTGCGGAGGATGTAGGTGATACCAGAGAAGGTGAGTCAGATGAGTGCTGTGAGAGACTTGGTTTGAAAGATTGCGTCTCTTTTATAGGGTTGCGTCGGCGTCAGGTGTCTGGAGTAGATACCTCAGGCCATGGCAGCGGACGGAACATATCTCCCAGCCGGGGATAGCGGGGTAAGGCCGAGCGGCCCGAGCCCCGCTCTCCGCTGACTCATCAGCCCTATTTCGACCAATCTCAATTGTTAAATTCTGCTCTGAGGTCAAGCTATACGCGCCAAGAGGAATTAATATCTTTAATATAGCGCCAGTTGCTGCAAACCTACTGGATCGAGTTAAGCTGTGCCCCTCCTTAACCCCGCAATCTGCTGCCGACTCCCGAGACCACCGCTGATCGTGAGTAATGGAAACGGCGATTGCATCACGTTCAGGAGAACACCTCCTCTGAATGCTGAGATGGTAAGTACATAAACCCGGCAACCTACCAAGCCACTCCAGACATGCCTCGTCAATGTTCTAAGCCTCTCAACCCAAAGCCTCTCATCATCGTCTACCTCAACCCTCACACATCAAAATGTCCACATCCACCACCCCACCCACAACGACCTTAACAACCCGCCGCAAACGCATCATCGTCGCCCTCACCGGCGCCACCGGCACCATCCTGGGCATCCACGCCCTCCTGGCCCTGCGGGCCCTCAACGTCGAAACCCACCTGGTCCTCAGCAAATGGGCCGAGAACACCCTGAAGTACGAGACGGACTACACGGTGGCGAACGTGCGCGCGCTCGCCGACTTCGCCTACAGCAACCACGACCTGGCCGCGCCCATCGCCAGCGGCTCCTTCCGCGTCGACGGCATGATCGTCGTCCCCTGCAGCATGAAGACGCTGGCCGCCATCAACGTCGGGTACGGCGAGGACCTGATCGCCCGCGCCGCCGACGTCATGCTCAAGGAGCGCCACCGCCTCGTCCTGGTCACCCGCGAGTGTCCGCTGAGCAGCGTGCACCTCGAGAACATGCTGGGCGTGACGCGCCATGGGGCGATCGTGTTCCCGCCGGTGCCGGCGTTCTACACGCGCCCGGCCGGGTTGGCGGAGGTCGTTGAGCACATTGTTGGGCGGGTGTTGGATCTGTTTGGGTTGGAGGTGGCGGGGTTGCCGAGGTGGGAGGGGTTTGTGAAGGGTTGATTTTTTTGGGATTGGGATTGTGTTTTCGTAGAAGGTTACTTTGGGGTTGGTGGAATAGGAGTTGGGTGGTTGTGTTGCGCGTGGTTGTTTTTCAATGGGGACTCTTCTTGTTGCTTTTGTTTCGGATAGAGGATTTTCATTTCGAGGGATAGATATTCATATAATGATACTCGATATTGACACTGACGCTTTTCGGAACTGACTTATGCTACACTTTCTCGGAAAGCTCTATGTGTTCCTTGTTGAACGAGATGAGAGAACCGCTTAATCACGTTTTGTTGGTTAAGGTGTTTGACTCGCGCCTGGCTTAGTGTGATTGCGATCATGTTGAACATATGCCGTACATTATTCAAAAGCCAAGCTTTCAAATGTGTAGTCCCGTGTGTTTGCGGGACATATTTGCATAGTGGAAATGGCGAGACCTGATCTAAAGCTAGAGAGCCAAAATGAGAATGCGCTGCCCGGTGAGTCTACCAGCATGACTCGGCCCCAGCAGGGTTCGCTAAACATAAAAAACTCCTGCTTGATCTGGGGGTGACGGGTTAGAACCGGTTGAGCGGTGATGTGCTGGCTACGACTTGGTGCGTTACGAGCGTGGTGAGTACGACGGTGTCCAGTGCGGCTGGGTCGGCTGTGCCATCGTCTTCTGTTGTCATTCCGTCTTCAACTCCCTCTGTCGTGCCTTCGTCGGTGGCATCTTCTACTGTCATCCCATCTGTTGCGCCCTCTTCGCCGGTGGTGTCTTTTCTTTGTCATTACCTCCAGCTCGGCGATTGTCTCTCCACCCGGAAGGCTTTCGAGCAGCTCCGCCGTGGTGCAACCTAGCCCTAACTCATCCCCCGTCGTCTCTCCTTCGTTCGTCAGGGCTCGTCCCCTTATCCGTTTAACCTCTACGGCTGATGTCATGTCCATGAGCAGTGCATCTTCACACGTAGTGAGGCCCAGTGCCGGTTCTTCTGAGGCAGCCCACCCCACAACTTAACCAGACAGACCAGCACAGGGGTGAATTCTGCCTTGGCCACCGCATTCACTTCCACGAGCATGACAGACAGCGCAGCGGGGGCGTTGGTGACAGGTGCAGCATCAGCACCGCGGGTGGCCGTCCTTCCAGGCGTCGCCACTTTCATAGCTGCTCTGGCCATGCTTCTCTAGGCGCATCAAGATGAATGCTTCCCATCTATGTCCAAGATTCACATATGACGATTGTCAAAATCATGTACAAATCTAATAAACATCACCAACACGAACTCACTCGCCTATCCTGCGCCGTCTACCCCTATTTAAACCATCCTAAAGCTTCTCCACAACCTCGTCTCAACCCTCTCGCCATCACCCCCCCGTTCAAACAAGACCTCCAACTCCGCAATCTTCCCCCGCAGGCTCAGGCAAGCTCCCAAACGCCCAACCAAGAAACTCCCCCGAAAGCCGCCGCGGATGATGGCCGCGTTTGTTTTGCCGGGGGCTGAGGAGGACGAGGTCATCTTTGTGGATTGATTGCTGAGACGAGGTCGTGATAGATGAGAGGGATGCAGTAGGAACCACAGCTGCATTCTCGATTACAACTGTGACGACCCGGACAGCCATTCCGCGTCTCTATCCGATCAACGACATCAAATCCAGTCTGCCGGGATTCTCTTGTTTAGTGGGCTAGGGCAAATCAGGGGGAACCCTCAATGACCTCATTCATTCCCCCACGACGTCGCACCGACATTGAGCAAATCTGACCCAAAGACATGGGCTGATACCATCATCTGTGTAGGTCTCGGGTGGACCAGTCTGGCTCGTAGAGAGGAAAGGGGGTCCAACCGTTGCGAAGACAGCAGCAGCCGTGTTGAGCGCGTCTCGGCCCGATTTCCGGCCAATCGATTGCAGAGCGATGTGCTGTATGAGCCATGCAGAGTCACAGGGCATAAATAAGAGAGCTACTGCTGCTGCTGCTGCGGCTGCTTGCGTGTTGTCAGCCACTATTATTGCCTTTTCTTTCACTCATCCCCCAACTCTCTCCCACTGCTCTTTGTTCCCAGAAAAACATGTCGCCCACACCGTGGTGGAGAAACGCTACCATCCACCAGATCTACCCGGCCAGCTTCCAGGACTCCAACGGCGGTGGCATATGCGACCTCCCCGGCATCCCGGCATCCTCAGCCAGCTGGACTATGTCCAGTCGCTGGGGATGGACGCCACCTGGGTATGTCCGATGTACGACGGCCCGCAGTACGACACGGGGCTACGACATCCGCGTCTACGAGGCCGTGTACGCGCCCTACTGCACGGCGGCGGACGTCGAGGCCGTAATCGCGGGTGCCACGCGCGGGGGCTCCGCATCCTGCTGGATCTCGTCATCGATCACATCTCACACGAGCACGCCTGGTTCCAGGCCTAACGCTCCTCACACACCGACCCCAAACGCGACTGGTACATCTGGCGGCCGCCGCGTTACAACCTGGCCACCGGCGCTCACAGCGCCCCCCCGAACAACTAGCGCAGCTTCTTCGGCGGCAGCGCGTGGACCTTCGACTCCACCACCAAAGAATACTACCTGCACCTCTTCGCGAGCAGCAGCCGGACCCCAATATGCTCGCCATGCTGGTCGCCAGCCTCTCCGGGACCCTGTTCCTGTACCAGGGCCAGGAAATCGGCCTGGTCGACGCCCCGCCCGCCTGGGACGCCGTCTGCTATCGTTTTTCTTACTCGAAGGCTAGACTTGGCCAACTGCATTCAGGCTGACCCGATTCCATGTTCATCCTATCGCACTATAGTGCTTTAAATACCCATCATACAGATAGCTATCATCCACAAACTCCGCCTGGTTTAGGAGACTATGCACCGCTAGCTGATGATGGCGCTCAAACCCATCCGACCCAGTCAGCCGATCAGGATTCGGTTCTCGCGCCTCTTTGGACTGAGGGCTACTGCACGCTTCGATCCACACCTTGAGATCCAAGATCATCCCCTTCGCATGAGCCGCCCGCTCATAGTTCCGCTGTAAGAAGGCCAGAGCCAAGAATGCCTGCTCTAGCGCCGTGCCCAGCGACGAAGACAATGAGTCCTCTGAGCCTCTCCGACCTGAATCCCCAGCCAGATGGAGACACAGACGCGCCGCGTGGTAAACACACCGGGCGATATCCACAGAGAAGAAAGTTGGAGGAATGAGAGCCTCATTGTGCAAGACGAAGTCGATAATGCACGTGCTGTGATGGTGGCATTTGCCCCGGGCTTGAAGGACAAATGGGCTGGAGCTCAAGGAATTGAGAATCGTCGAAGACGCGGCGCTGGGATGGCCGGCAAGGAATAACCGGGAAAGATCGCACTGAGCTTGATGCCATGCGATTTGGAGTTCCAGCACCCGTCCCAACCACCGCGATGGTAGCTGCGGATGAGAATGAAGTTTACCATGGCTCGGAGAAAAGGGTCCAAATGACGTAGTGATTTGGGCGTCGATCTGCAACAGGCTTGTTTGAAAGCCTCGAGCAATGGCATCGAGGTCAACGACGGGCTGTTCCACGAGGGCGAGTTGGCGAGTCAAGCGAATGATATCGCGACGGACTTTGGATAGACGCAAGATGAGTTCGAGCGTACCGTGCGAGGCCGCGGACTGATCGGTTGGGGTGCCAGATGGACGACGGATCATGCACTCCGGTATCGGCGAGCCGAACATTTCTTCGCGGCAAGGGAACTGCTGGTAAATCTCGCCATAGTCGATAGTGCTGTAGCCCGGAAGACCGACCGAGAAGTACCCATCGAGTAGAGCCATCGTCCACGCAGCTCTGCGGCGGGTCTCTTGCGCCACGAAGCCAAGATGGGGACTTTCGTGGTTGAGACGCAAAGCAGTCACTTGGCGACTAGCGAGCGATGCCAGCATGAACGCTTGCCCGAAACCACCTACTTCGGCGTGATAGTGAATGATGAGAAACAGAGCTTGCAAGTGAAAGATCGATGGCCTCTCGAGCTGATTGAGGATGTGACTTTCAGCCCGTGCAATCCAGGAAGCGCTATCGTAGGAGACTCGCCCTGAGAACGGGCAGCGCAGATTAACAATGGCGCAGATGGCAAGCACGAGGCTTTCCTCCAGTCTCTCTTCAGAGCACATTCGTCGGATTGAGGACTCATGTAGGAAGCTGTACCCTGGGAGGGGATACAGGTACTGAAAGTAGAGGTCGAGAAACTTGATCAACTTTTGCTGGCTTTGAAGCGGAGACGTACTGGAGCCAAGTCAGAATGAGCCAGTGACGCAAATCTAGTAGACTGACATACGTACCATTTCTGGTCACTCTCAGCGCTCGGAGCATGGTCGGTGCCCTTCCTCGAGAAGATGCCAGCTCGCTTTGACCCCGGGTAATGGCAGTCACGATCTCGCCTTTGACAATTGCCACATTGGGGCATTTCTCCCGAGCAACGAGACTTTTGCGCGCGACATCGTAGGCATGCTCGTGCCGCTCGACGACGGTCGGGCTCATCCTCATTCCTTCGCTGAGGGTTTTCTGAAAGCGATGCCGATCTCTGAAAAGAACATGTATGTTTCAATCGCTCGCAGTTGCTACAGATGTCGAATTTGCGATCGCATCGAACCTAGATATGGGCTTAACTTGGACATGACGACAATATCAACGATATCAACGTGGGCGGCCTACCTTACGTGACCGACACTGAAAGCACGGATCCGAGCGCGGTCGATTCAAAGAGGTCGCCATGAGTATGGAAAAAGAGTCAGTCACATTGCGCCTCGTAAGTGCCCTTGAGCACCAACCCGCCTCAGATGCGGAGTACTTGGGGAGTACTTGGGGTTCTTTTGCGGATTGGGGGAGGCGATGGCGCAACCGAGAGCCAAAAAGGCGTCAGTGCGCCATGTACTGTACTTGTACGGAGTAGACTGTAGTTAATGTGGAGAATGTGGAGACATCTGATCGGAACAGAGGCGAAGCGCTGGAAGGGATCGTTATCCGATCGTCAGATACTAGGCGTGCATTCTGCTTTCATTTCACCCTTAGATGATCTCCACCAAACATCACCAATTCCTCTTTGAGCCGGTTTTCTTGAGTTCTTCCTGGAACAGAGAATACGCGTCAAACATCCCCGAATTCTGAAAGTACGCTTCATAATGTGCAATCATCTCCCCCAGCTTTTCCGGATGGCTGTCCGCCAGATCATGCACTTCCCCCAGATCTGTTGACAGATCGTACAGCTCCCACTTGCCCTCTCCGCGTGGTGGAGGGAGAAACACGGCTTTCCAATGGCCGACACGGACAGCGGCTATGCCCAGCTGTTCCCATCCCACGACATCGGACTCGTACAGATTAACCCTTCCATCACCTGACTCCAAGAGCGGGCGCCAGGAATGTCCTCTTGGAAGGGCTACCTCTCTTCCCCGAAAATTTGTCCCAGGGTGGTGCAGTCCCGCAAGATCCAGCACGGTCGGAAGCACATCCATAACTGTCGTGAACGTTTCCGTGATAGCCCCCGGCTCCATACTCATCATCGGCGGATACCGCACGATGCACGGGCAGCGAATGCCACCCTCTGTGGTGAAAGACTTGGTGGCTCTGCACGGTGCGGTGGCCGCTGACGCCCACTGCGGTCCATACCATACAAATGAATCGTGGTTGCCCAGGTTCTCTAAAGAGTTATCATAGTGCTTTTCGATCACGTCCCCCACTGTCATCCCGGCCATGACCGGAATAGCCTCCAGCAGCTGTCCCTCGGCCCCATTGTCGGACATGAAGACCAGGAAGGTATCGTCCCACTCCCCGGTCGACTCTAGATACTGCCGCACTCGCCCAATGTTTTCATCCATGACATCGACCATGGCAGCGTAAATCTCCATCGTCCGACTTGACAACCGCCGCTCTTCGTCAGTGAGTTCGTCCCAAGGGGTAGTCCCCAGCGTGATGATTGGAGCCGGATCGACCCCCTCTGGTACCAGCTCATTTTTGATCAGACTCTTCAATCGACGACTTCGCAGAGCAAGCGGCCCGTCGTCGTACCAGCCCTTGTACTTCCGGATTGTGTCTTGCGGCGCCTGCAACGGCCAATGCGGCGCTGTGAAGGCGAGATAAGAAAAGAACGGCTGCTCTCTCTGCATCTCTGTCCGATTTCCCAGGATCGACAAGAGATTATCGGTGAAGGTCTTTGAGGAATAGAAGTCTTCGGGTAAATCCGTTGCGCCGTTGATGAACTTATCGTCGCGCATCCACAGTCCCTCCTTGTCCCTGAAGATGACCCGCGGTTTCGATGTTGTGTCGTAGAGTTGCGGTTCGTGGTTGAAGTGATTGCCTGCGCCAGGTAAGGTGGCAAAGACTTTGGTGAAACCTCGAGAGCAAGGCGCCACATCCTTAGTGAGACCAAGATGCCTGCGATTATATCGCCATCAGTTACGGGTCAGAGTTGACCCTCCACAGTACTGAATCTCGGTCACACGGTCGCATACGCACCATTTCCCGGACATGCATGTAAAATATCCGTTATCCTGCATTATCTCTGGCAATGCGGCCACCTTGTAATTCAGGTAGCCCTCGTAGCCTGTCTTCCCATCGAAGATATGGGGAAACCGGTTCCGTCGCTCAGCCATGACCCCGAGTCCGGCGATGTGAGCGTCGGTGCCTGAGAGAAGCATCGCGCGAGTTGGCGAGCATGACGCTGCGGTGTGAAAGTCGGTCATCCGCAAACCTTCCTGTGCCAGCTGATGGAGGTTGGGCGTGTGAATCTCCCCACCGAAAGGGGAGGTGTCGCTAAACCCGAGGTCATCAGCAACAATGATCAGAAAATTCGGGCGCTTTGTAGATGTCATGATGGTTGAAGTCAGAAGCATGTGGCTTGTCGCACGCCATCAGTGCAGGCGCGGATTGTTATGTATGATGACCGTCACTAACATCTCATCTTCGCTGGGATCTTGCGGGAAGAGCGGAGGTTTAGTGGCGATGTTGCCATCACTTAAAACGATGGCTTGATCTGCATCCCAATAAGCGGTCGCGAAACCACGGCTGTCGGTCGCGCTACGGCTCTCGGTCGCTTAGTGTTTTTTTTAGTTGCATCTTGGCTTCATGGGCGGCCATCAACCGTGAACACCTTCCTCCCACGAAATCTGGAGCAACTATCGCAACATCGTGGCTCATGGTGACGAATATATCCTCACAGCTATTAAAGATGGATGACCGCGATGGAAATCGTTCTGATGAGTATATGCCAGATCACTGGTGAGCTGGGATTGACCTCTCCTCAACCACACGATGTCAGCCTTTGGGAGCTTCAAGCTCAAGTCCGGTCTGGTGACCAGGAACATGCTGGTAGCATATATGCTCATTGGCTTGAGTGTTTTTAGTTATGGTTTTGACGATTCGGTATACTCAACCATTCAAACCATGGACGGTAGGGGAGCTTGAGCCTAACATCGGAAATTTGCCAGCTAACCCCAACTAGCCTTTGAAAAGCAGTTCGGATCGTATAACTCTGCAACAGGCAAATACGGCTATACCACAAAGCATCTCGCCTATCTCAACTCGCTTGGTTCGCCCGCGAAAGCCTTTGGGACGGGGCTGGGCTGGTTTGTGGGCGAGTACTTCGGCCGCCGGCTATGTTTCATCAGCATGCAATTCTTATGCATCTTGGGCATTGCGATCAGCTATACTGCCACATCCTTTGGGCAGATCTTGGCCGGTCGAATGGTAGTGCAGTGCTTCATTGGATGGGAGAGCTGGCTGGTACCCATGTTTCTGGCGGAAATCAGTCCCGCCGCCATCCGCGGAGCCACGGTGGTGGTGTATGTGTTTGCTCATATCTTCGGCTCGTTCATTTGCTCAATCATTACCTATGAAACGGCCAAGATGGAGGGCAATGCCTCGTGGAAGATCCCCATCGGCGTGATGTGGACGTTCCCGTGCTTCATTCTACTTTGTTCGTGGTTTGTCCCTGAGAGTCCTCGCTGGCTGGTACGGAAGAACAAGGTCGAGGCCGCCACTAAGCAGCTTCAGGACTTATACAAAGATCAGGAAGTGGACGTGGCTCATGAGGTGGCGGTGCTGCAAGCATCGATCGAGGTAGACGCCGAGACGAAGGGCACCTGGCTGGAGTTGCTTCAGGGAACCAATCTGGTGAGACAGGTCTACACCTTGAGACAAATACCTGCTAACAAAACACACAGAGGCGCACCATGATTGCAGTCATGACTGCCATCTTCAATCAAGTGACAGGGCAGAGCTTCGTGAGCCAATACGGCACTCTCTTCGTGAAGTCGCTGCACGTCATGAATCCATTTGCCTTCGCCATGATCTCCCGAGCGCTGACCTGCATCGGCCCCCTGATCACCTTCTCCCTTGTAGACACCACCGGCCGTCGACCCATCTACCTGATCGGAGGGGTCATGACAACTGCATTGCTGTTCGCCTGCGGTGGCTTGGGCACCGGGACGATTACCGACGACAAGAAGCGAGGCGTCTGCGGTGTGCTTATGATGTACGGCCTGTTCTACATCATGTCCTTTGGTTCGATGTACGATATCCCCGTGCCTCTCTTCCCAAACGCCACACTGACCCGTGCAACAGCGCCGTCATCGTAGGAGCCGAGACCCCACACCTGCGCCTTCGCGATCAGACTTCGTTCGTGGCGTGGACCATCCGCGTTGTATGCGATTTTGCTGTCTCGTATTCCCTGCCGTATCTGCTTAACGCGCCATATGCAAACCTGCAGTCTAAGGTTGGCTTTATCTATGGCGGCCTTTCAGCGGTCGGGGTGATCTTGGGGTACTTCTTCCTGCCCGAGTTGAAGGGTCATTCATTGGAGGAGCTGGAGGAAATGTGGCGACGCCGCATTCCGACACGAAACTTTGCCAGTGAGTCATTTGCTGTTAGGACTGCAGAGTGTGACTAACCGAATTGTAGCCTGGAAAGCCGATGCGAGCGATGACGAGAAGGTGGCAGATTTGGAGTCGGAGAGAGAGTTGGAGAAAGACGATGTTGGAGTCACCGGTCGCTACGTCTAATTTTCGACACCAAACGTTGATTCTCCCATGATAAAGCACTTCAAAATTCGACGGTTCAATAACATAGAGAGGAATCCAGACAGCAGAAAAATGGTGCTCCAACACGTATCGGGCTGGAATAGACACGAGGTGTAAGTTAGATTTGTTGTGTTGAAGAAAGATTCAAATCATTGCTGTGGAGTACGCGACCCGATAAATTACGGATTGTTTCTGCCACCGCCAAAAGCTGTTTGGGCCAAAGTTCCTGATCGCCCTCACCCTCGCGAGGTCGCCAGCATTCTGCCGACCATAGCAGTCAAAAAAGCAGTCTGAAGTTCAACCACCTGAAGATCAATCATTACTCTCTGAATTATCATGTGAATATTCCCCGGAAATGAGGGAGGAGGCGAACACTACGAACTACAAGCATCATTCACCTGACTTGTTGATTGAATCATGAGTTGCCCAACAACGATACGCAGTAATCCTCTGTTCACCATGATCAACCACAAAATTTTTCTACTAAAACCAAAAAAGAAAGCTATTCTGTCCTCCCTCACTGGAGCTCTAACATAGAAATTCTTCCCGCCAAGTCGACTAGACCCGCACGAGCGACTTCTATCTGCTACGACTGCCCTTGTTCCAATAGTCCACCCTGCCAAATACCCCTTGCCAGAGTTCGTAGCCTCCCTGCGCCGTTAGGGAGGTACGATGGCCATCCAGGTAAAACACGAGCGGCTTACTCAGTGCGCCAGAAGAAGAAGAAGAAGTACCATCACTACTCTGCAGAACCAAGCGATAAGAGCGATCCTGGAGCGGTGATAGAACACCAGATACCCGAAGCCCCGCGGGCTGATACAGGCGCTCACGCTTTATAACGGCATCCTGTGCGTGATCTATCCACATCTCTGGCAATCCCTTTCTATACGCCGCATGGTCATTCTGATTGTAGATGGCCCGAATGACGCTAGGGTAGCCAAAGTCGGCGGCTGCTTTCGCCTGGTACGCGAGGTGGCCGTTCGGCGAGAAGAACTGCTCCTCCCTCGCGACCATCGCCAAAGCTACCTCAGGCTTCCCCGCCGCCAGGGCCGAGACAAACGACAGACCCCAATCCAAGGGGGGATTCACATCCAGGCACGCAGTCCATGATCCACTGCAGGCGGTGGGAATTATGCAGCGCCGCCGGAGTCGGAACCGCCCCCGAATTGCACGCCTGGTGCTGCTCCACGGACACCCCCGACTCGACAGAGGAGGGGCGCAGCAAGAAGTCCGGGTTGTCCGTCAAGGCTTGCCGAACCAATTGTTCGTTGCCCAGGAGACACAAGGGTCGGAAGGAGGAGGTGTCCGGGTGCTTGCACTTCGCCCCGTAAGAGAGCAGCAGCGCCGCAAATCCCTCTTGCCTTGCCAATGACTGCCGCTCGAAAATGTGACCCAGTGTATCATAGGAGGACGGCATAGGTATACCGGCTTCCAGAAGCAAGCGAGCCAACCCACAATCTGGTTGGTCAATCGCGCGACGGACAAGGTCGCTGCGCTCCTCCCCGAAAGGTCGAGCGATTTCTTTGTGGTCGTGATACACAAGACTGGCTATCATCTCAAGATCAGGACGGTTTTTTCTTCCAAATACGACCATGTTCGGCCGCCGCCTCATCCAGGGGGTCGCGGCCCTCACACGCGCGCACAAATTCACGCGCCGCTTGGAACCCGCGCTGGGATTTGGCGTCGGATAGTGGGGCACGGCTACCTCCAGATTGTGTGTTGATGTTCTTAGAAGCCATTGCTGGATGGTCGGAAGATGGTTGGTGGATGTTGAAGGCTGGGGAGGGAATTTGGAAGATGGAGGATGGTAGATGAATCATTTTCACGAGGAGCAAGCCCCACGTATTTATACATCAATCTGTCCTCGAGGAAATCCCTAGCAGATGAGCCCACTATGTCTGGTGGTGTATTCACAATGCCTTCTCTTTGTCTTGTCTTTGCTGAGAGAGGGAAAAAAATCGTCTTAACTCGAGGACATTGTTAAGTCATTGGTTTCTTGTTCGAGAAAGCCGATATAACAGACAATCGTCACAGGCATATTACTGGGTGTTGCGGAGCTCACCTTATCAATGAGCATCAGTTCTTGAAGAAGATCTAGCGCTCGATCCCGAATTCTAGGGTCTGGGTCTGCGTGTCTTTTAACCCGACCGAGATATTCCTGGACATCTAGAAGCTTCTTCGACAGTGCATTGGCCTCCTCGGAAAGCCCGTCATTTTCTCTTCCCACTTCCTCAAAGAGATCACCCGTTTTCTTGCTGAGGGAGACTGCGACCTCTACAGGGTCATTCTGGAGTGGCGCATTTAGGTCGTCCGATGGCCGGATCCTCCAAGATCTGAGCAAACTAGTCAGAAAAGATTCAATCATGGCTCGAAATCTCGCACCCGGCTCAGGGAGTTGGATAGGGATGCTAGGATGACAGAAAAGAAAGGAGAATGTCACTCGGGGGAAATAGAGGGAACGGTTAGGGTCAAGACTGCGGAAAGGGACCTGCGTTTAACAATTTGCAACTGCACCAACGGGATCGACTACATATACCTCTCTAGGTGATTCTTCAATGTCTTGACAGATAGAGAGAACAACCTTTCACTGGTCAGACATCTCAAGTCACTTGTAGTGACTGTAACTGCAGTCAATTCACAGTAGTTCTGGAGACAATAAAAGTCTTTCTCCCATATCGAAGGCAATCTTCCGAACCTCAAAACCGCCCCCCAGCTTCTGGAGCTCAGATGCCATGCAGTTGTCGATCTGGTTCGGTAATCTTACTGCGCCCATTGACGTTGCTGTCGCGAGTTTGTCTCGCCAATTTCGTTCGCTATGTCAAGTCTAGTCTCAGCTTGATAGTCTTACTCAGGGCCTTGTGACAACATGAGAGAAACCGCCTACCTGAGTGTCAGGTGCTCCTGTCTCTCATTGGATGGTAGATATCACTTCTTCGTGAATCTGCAAGGCCATTGATATTGGCCAATCCCTTATCCACCAGGAATTCACCCTCTGGACTGGTCGGCGATGAAGATCCCGCAATAACTCTTCGGATTTCCAGTCAGTGGGATGTCTTGCAAATTCAGCCCCTGTCTCCAATGTTATGCCGTCCTAGATGCCATTGAAGACGGAGATCCTGTTGTGAATTCACCATGTACACCTCCTTGGCTTGGCGGTGTCAGAGAAGCACGGTTCTAGGCTTCATGGCCTGGATCACTCTTGAGAGATAGTGAATTCATTTGCAATATGTTATGTTCGAGCTATGATTCCGACAAGAGGACCACGACAGCAGGTTCTACCAATCTTTCTGCTAGAGTGGTGGGTCCCAGTCCCCCAGGCCGTCTGCCCCATAGAGTTTCCAGCAAGGTGGGATGAGTAAAGTCGTGGATATCTTGTTGTCCTAGCTCCGATTCTTGCAATAGTCAAACGCCATGGATGGACACCGCCTCTTTGGGTATAGGGGGTTCAAGGGGGTTGGGCGAAGGAGGACCTGGACTTTGGCCCACCCCAACTCTTAACGCCGGACAGGAGCGACTCTGACAGGTAGTGTGAAGCTGCATTTCCCCATTTCGGTGGACTTGGGCATCGTATTCGTAGGCAATATGTTTTACTCTTCGTATTTGGAGGATGTGTCTTTGCTTTTTGGTGACTCCCCCCGTCCCCCCTTTTCAGTTCTCACCGCTCCTGCCTGTCGCTCTGGCAATGTCTCAGGCAGATCCCGATAGTGTGGTTATGCACGTTTCTGGTGCATCTTCTGGCGCATTCATCAAGATCGAGAAAATAGTTGACAGAAGCACTGGACAATCTTTCATGGAATGACCAGAAGAGGGCTCAGACCCACTGTAACTGTGTGTGCATTGCCTATGTCTCTAGTCCTTTTTGGGTTTCTCGCATTCACACCGACCAGTGTTGCTAGTATTCCCCAGCTCATCCTTCCTCTTGTCGGTCAAAGCCCACCGGCAACAGCGGATCATAGCCCTTTGTGAGGGATATTCGATTGGAATTCTGGCCAGGTAAGTGATAAGTTTGTTTGGGGAGACGGGAAAGAAAACACATCCTGAGTAGCAAAGAAAAAGCAGCCTAGTACCCTATGACACTCAGCACCAGAGGCATCTGAGATGCTCCCCGGACTATAAGTCCCAGGCGCTGCTGAAATGACAGCAGGTCACTGTTGCGTCCTTGGAGTGATTGCGTGACGCCAAATCCTTGCTCTTGCTAACCTCGCTGGTGCAATTAGAACCAAATCCATATCAGCCTTCCTCCAAGAGATCAGAACTATGCAGGCCAGCCCGCGAGAATACAAACGCGATGAACGAGGAGCCTATCGTCAGCGAATCATGAGATTGAGACCACCGAAACGATACTCTCAAGAGCCACTCGGGACCAGCTTGATCACAGCCATCCGCAAAACATTCAAGCTCTGTCTTGAGCAGAATCACCTCATGCGCGAGACGTGGGCGGTGGTCAGGATGTCGGATTTCAACCTCTGGGTCGATGGATGGGGCGCCGCAGCCGCAACGGAGACATTGCTTGATGCTAGGCTTCAGGCCCTGCCAGAATCGGATCAAAAGTGTCTACAGGATAATCTTCACCAGCTCAAGGATGCTCTTAGCCAAGGGCTCTTCGTGGAGAGAAGCGAGAAATCAATGAGGAAGGTCGATTTCCTCGTCTCCCAGTTGGCCAAGGACGCCGTGGCCATCAGACGGAGAGAAGCACAACCACGGATCCAAAGAGCAGATCAGACCTTTGACCCTCGAAGACAGCAGTCACTGCGGGATTACTTCAAGTGCATGATGCTTCTTCTTCGACCGACTGACAGTGCTGTTTCTGAACCTGAATCCCCACCGACTGTGCCCACGGATTGGGTGTGTGTCATACCGAACGATAATGTGATCAAGCTCAAGATGACACCTCTTCAGGAGCGCCTCATCGAAGCCAACCTCAGGCGCCGTTATCGATTTCTTCGAGCCCAGCGCGAGTCGGACAACCCGGCCAGCTCAACGACCTCGGGGCCAGAATCAACAGCTGGACTCCCAGATAGCATCGCGGCTGATTCTCAAAAGACGGGTCAGTATCCGAGCCCCCCAAAAGCAGAGGGTGATTTCAAATGTCCTTGTTGCTGCCAACCTTTGCCCGACATTGTGGCTACGGACACCGAAAAATGGAGGTAAGAATTCGTGTGATATTTATCGCTTCGCCACGCAGATCACTGATTGCTCTATCGCACAGACAACATCTTTTGAAAGATATCCAACCGTTCACCTGTATCGCGAAAGGCTGCCCGACTCCAGGTATTATTTACAGCACGCGAAGCGACTGGGAGCGCCATGTGGAGATGGACCATCGCCGCAACCGATGGATCTGTCCCATCTGCCGCGACATGGACACCGCAACCGACAACGTGGAGGTCTTGCTCGCCCACATGTGGCAGCGTCACCCAGACGCAATTACCCCGGAGGATGCCGTCCATGTTATTCATGCGGGCGAGATCCCATCGTACGGACTCACGTGTTGTCCTCTCCCTCTCTGCAAAGAGACTGGATCCCTTGACAGCTCCGAACTGGTCAACCACGTCCTGCGACACACCCATGACTTTGCCTTACAGGCACTCCCGTAGCCCCAGCAGACGTAGGATCATGCCCCAGCCCCAGGCCCTCGACCCGGCACATATAACACGAGACTGCTGACAGATCCGGATTACGTCCTGTCGTGGTTGAACGACGTCAGTGAGCAAGGTCCTCCATCTTCGACCCCCCCGGCACTGGACCTCAGGACCTGGGACGAGACCGCCGAGGAACCTGCGCAAGAGTCCAGCGGCGCCTGGGACTACTTCGACCGGAATCCGTACTTTGCGGACGACTCCAGCAGTAGACCCTTTCCTGCGCCCTTGTCCAAGCGCAGCGAACACATATCAGATGGCGAGGAGGCGATTGACCACCAGGTTGAGGGCTGTTAGCCGTCCAGGAACCACCACACGTCGGACCACAGAGCTCATCAGCGACCTACCTCACGGACGGACGCGATGCCTCAAGGTCTAGTTTTCGGGACTCTTCACTACGTTACAATTCACGTCCAATGTCAGAATGCCAGTTGTTTCCTTCCCATGTTGTATCCTTTATGCCTTTCCAAGTTTCCTAATCTCCATGCGCACAGGTAATCTAATCTACTCATTTTTGTTCTCGTCAGAGATAGTCGACCCCCGGAGAGGTAAACACTCCTTAAGTGGCAGACGATGGTAGATAGATCCTTCCGGTTCTCCTCCTACGACGGAATGTCATCTCCACCACAGTAAGTACCCGACGCCCCTGTCCAACCCACCCCTTTTTCAACAGGCTCCGAATGGCCACCAACCGGCCCACGCGGTCAAAGCCCATGCCGCCCGGGATCTCGAACGTCGAGACCTCGGCTTGGAAGACCCTGGCAAGCCAGCCCCGAACCTCCACTGCGAGGAGCGAACCGACCCTGCAGCTGACGATTGGGCCCTTGGGGTTGACCCCTCCTCCGCCAGCCCGGAGAGGCTGCGCACAAGCTTGGCGATGAGGGCGCGGGCAATGATCTGGGTCGCCTCGCCCAAGGAAGCGGCCTGGCATTGCACGGCCTGGAAGTCGCGTGGGCCGCCTTTCGTGGAAGAGTGGTGGAGGTGGTGGTGGTTGGATGATGATGATAGGACGCGGTGGAAGAAGCCGAACACGGGCCGCTGCACCCAGGCGAGCTCATCCACCCCGCATGCCAACATGGCCTTGAGGGTATTGATGCCGAAGATCGTCTGGTAGTCGGCCAGCGTCAGAGCTTGGAGACGGCGCCGGCGCTGTCATGACGACCACACCGTCATCGCCATCACTGGCAGCCTCGAGCACCGGACGACAAGGACGGCAGCAGTAGAATCCCAGCAGGGCGAGGAAACTTTCCTGCGTGATTGGGGCCATGGAATTGCCGTCCAGCAGCCGGTCGCGGATGGCCTGGTGCTGGGCTAGGAAGCCGTCGTCGACCATGGCCCCCAGTTCGAGGCTTATGGCGGCTCACTGCCAGCATCGCGCCGGGCATGGTCGACTCATTCCGCAATTTGGATGACACCAGCGAGCGCCGCAAGTAGGCAATCCTCCAAGCGCTGCGCGCGGAGCTGGCGACACAGCGGTCTCCATAAAAGAGTTGAGCACTGTCATCCTTGTTCATTTTGCACAAGAGGGGCGGGAGTTAGGGTTCGCTTACGCAGCAGCAATCCCTCCCGACGAGTGTCCCTCGACGACATTGCACGGGACATCAAAGGTACGAAGCAGGCTCACCAACGCGACTTGGACTACAGTGCAAGGAACCGAGCTAATGCGAGCGTTGTCCGTTGTCGATCCGAGTCGTCTCTTCTGGCTTTGCCAGTCCCTCTACCCGATGAAACCATTGAGCGGCGCTCTTCCAGACCACGGGGAAAGGGGATGCCACAGTTGCCATTCTTGTCATCTTGATGCTTCATTGTTAGTCCAATCATTTCAATTTTCCTCGTCAGGTGATAGACTCTAGAAGAAAGATATTCCTGAGTAGGATGTCCCAGCCCCCTTTGTTTTAATCGTATCCCATGCATACCTTGCAAGATCTTAGAGAACCCGTGTCCGAGGGTCTAGGATCTATCTGCAAATCAATTCCTGTCTATCTAGAATGATGTAGATGACGCGTACAGTAGCTGGCCGAGATGCATGGGATCGGGCTTCCACCCTTGCTTTCTCTTCTGTTCGCGTGTGCTCTGAGGACACTTGGTTCAGAATACTATCAGATTCAACAAGCAAACTATATATGCCCTGAAAGCTCAGTTAACCAGCACATACGACCACAGGGTGTGGAAAACAGGGCTTCCCGTCCGCTCAGCCGTACTTAAGCCACACGCCGGGAGGTTAGTAGTTGGGTGGGTGACCACCAGCGAATCCCTTCTGTTGTATGTTTTTTGCAAGCCCACAGTCATATTGCTCTTCATACCCTCCTTGTCCTCGATCAATGACAGCGGAGAACCACAATATCGCCCACGCCCACTTCCTCTGTCAAGCTAACAACGCTCGTATCAAGGGTGTGACGGCCGTTGTGCGAACACCGGGCCCTCCCAGGTCTACCTCACACTAAAACCTGCCCAAGGGCCACCAAGCTCTCGACCCGCAACTGTGCTTCCCAGTAGAGTTACGGAAACAAGGACAAGAAAAGGCTAAACAGCCAGAGTCATGAGTCGTGAAATCATATCCCGGCGCAGAAACTCTGTAAGAGCTCGGTAGGATTTCAGTTTGCTCGGAGTCTTTGCGCATAGCCAATGCGAGCGAGATACCTCCTCGTGCGGGTCGAAACATCAGACTAGGTCTGGATTACATCTTGGTGAAGTCGAGGACCCGCGCTAGAAATAAACTACTAATCTCTCTCGGCACATGCTCGTGCTCTGAATCCAAAACCACCAAGGGAGCGTCGCAGCACTTCCCCTTCCTCTCACCAGCATTGCTCTGTTTCTCTCGAGAATAAGGATTCAAGTATCTCACTCAACGCTCAACGCCAAAGAGTGAAGCCAGCGATGATCATGACATTCAAATCCACTCTCCTCATCTCCCTGACGGTCCTATCCTCGAGCGCTCTCACCCTTCCCAACCCCGTCACCCCGCTTCAGCAGGCGCTGCTCGACCAGGACCCTCCTCCCTGTGGCGTATCATCCCCGGAGACGCAGATGCAGCAGCAGGATACCACCGCAGTTCACGACAGCCGCCTCGGAATCCACTACGGCCAATGCTACAACCTCATCCACCCGGATCTCGGGCCGGTCGTGGACAGCACGTGGGGCGCCTGGGCGCAGCCGTGGCAACTGCTGACCTTCAAGGAAGGCAGCATGCAGCGGCGGTTCCAGGTGTGTCGCAACACGGACTGCGAGTCTGGCGGCCCCGTGGGGGAGGACGAGGGGTTCTATCTACGGGATCTGAGCGGCTCGCCGAAGTCGCAGCGCCATCCCGCCTTCCTGGCCTTTTTGGATCTCGGGGCGCAGAGCCAGCTCTGGCCCTACGCCAACGACAACCTGGGCCGGCTGGCGGTCTTCAAGGGCGCGCCCATGGGGAACGCCGTCAGGCTCCGCCTGAAGGAGAGCGCCCACGGATTCAACGGGCTGCATGTCAACTCGAATGGCTGGCCCGGGCATAACTATGTTTTCACCGATCGGCAGCACAATGGCCTGACCTTGGGGTTTAAACCTGCTTTCTGTTGAAGGCAAAGCCAGACAACTGAGCATCCGCTCGGGGTGAGGAGTGGTGCCTCATCACGTCGCAGTCATCGCCGGTGCAGTCAGTCCGCACAGAAAAGGGGGAGACAGATCTAAGCAGTCCGCGCACGGCCAACGAGTGATGTTGGGGAGTGACTTTTGCAGCAAAAGCTATCTTGCTCTAGCTGGACTGAAAACACGTCTATTGTAGGATGCAGTGAATAAGTATGAGGTGTTATTATGAACAACCTTATCAGTGAGTGGTGTGCGCAATCAACGATTACAGGTAGCATTCACGGGCGGTCTCGGTAGTACAAAAGTGAAATTCATTACCTTTTGCTGTAGCTTTGTCTCTATCAATGGAAGTAGCGTTACTTACCAGGGGCCATCACACTAGACAAGAGAATTCTGTTTCTTGCACCAAGGTTCCGGTCCGGCTGTTCCATTGTTCAAATTGTGACTCTGTATGGCCATTCTATAGAGGAGGACTAGTTCAGGTTAAAAGATGCACCTTCTTCTTGGTCAGCTCGTAGTTGATGCCTGAAGTACTACCTTTCTAGGTTTAGTGACTCTGTAGATGCCTGAGCAACTACTACATTTAGTTAGTAGGCGGTCGTTTTAAGACGCTCGGACCAGCCACGGCGGGAAGGGGGGAGCATCTTTTTTGTCTAGACACTGTAGCAGGTTCTCACTTCCCCCTCCTCTCGGCCCGTAATCTGCTTTCGCCCAAAGCTTGCTGAATTCTTGCGAGTGGCAAAAGTCCCGGGATACAGTTTAGCTCTGGCTCTCGCTCCAGCTTTTACAACAGTGGATCCTATCCCTGGGAACTTGAATTGGTTCTTTTTAGTGGAGTCATAACTTAATGACGTCTCCAGTATAGGTGCGTTGGGGTCCTGATTAGTATATACTGCTGAAGACGTATTTCGGGCATCACTGAACATACATCGCATTGGACACACACAGTCTAGCCGTCAGGGCAGGGAAGCCTTGAGCGAAGGGGGAGCACAACGAGCCCTTTCGCAACGGCTTGCCATGTCTCACCATCGATGCATCAATCAAAGTAGATATCTGGCTTGAGTACGCTGTACTATGCCATTGGAAGCACTTGATTCCACCGCCAACGTCCCGTGATGGTCCAGTGGCGCGTTGGCATGATACTCCATGCACTTCAATCGTCTGTCAAAGGAGTCTGATCTTCATTCTATTCTTATCAACGAGTACTGCGCCAGTCAGACAGCCCGCCTAGCTATCCTGCAGGTCCTCGAACACGATTATATAGGCATGAATCTCAAGACTTCATCATCTCATTGCTGAAGAAGACTCAAACAACCGTGATATGTCCAACCAACCCTTTGCCCCGACAAATTCACCAACACGAAACATCAAAACCCATAAGACCTCACCCTCAACGACCCCGCCGTGCCCCCAATCCTGGCCCCGACACACCTGCCCGGATGCCAGACGGCAAACAACAACACCACGGCGGCGATAGGCGCGAACTCCAAGCACGCAAAGTAGACCTCATGGGTCGCCAGCGTGGCGCCCAGCCCCTGCGCCGTCTCCGCCAACCGGAAGATGGTGCGCAGATACACCAGCAGCGTGGCCAGCCCAAACACCCCACAGAACACGCCATACCGGGGCGGCCCCTCCCCCTTCCGCGCGGCCGTCCAAATCAGCCCCCTCGCGCGGACCAGAAACCCCGCCGCCACGGCAATGAACACCGTCATCGCGAAGACCTGGTACGCCAGCCCGCCCAGCAGGATATGGTTGGCGACGGAGGGGTCCTGCCGCCGCGACTCGCGTACGCCGACCAGCACGGCGCCGGCGATCTGCACGACGGTCGAGACGACGTCGGAGGCGATGAAGAACCACAGGATCACCCGCGGCGGGAGGAGGGCGTGCTGCCGGCCGAGGAGCCGGATCAGCCCGGACAGGATGGTGTAGATCCCCGCGGCCAGGAACACGGGCGCCGTGACGATGAAGAAGTAGTTGAGCACGAAGTAGATCAGGTTGTACGGGTCCTGGCGCGCGGACAGCGCCCGCGCGATATACCCGACGATCTCGAAGACCAGGCCCACCGAGAAGGGGAGCCACCACCAGCTGCGGTGGCGGATCGTCTGCACAGTGTGCGCGACCAGATGCACGAAGAACCAGGTGGCCGCGAAGGCGGCGAGCGCGAGCGAGGGCGTGTAGCCGTAGATGATGATCGAGGTGTCGTTGGGCCCGTTGGGGTTGGGGAAGTTGGGGTCGATGTAGCCGAAGGATCGCGCTTTTTGGGACTCTTAGTTAGGGCTTGGGTTTGGAGGGTGTTGGGATGTGAGTTTGGCCCGGGAGGGGGGGGGGGGAATCGGTACAGTACCTGTGATATGCGGGTGGGAGCGCGCCATGAGTAATCAGCTGGGGCGCGGTATTCGCCTGCGTTCAGTCACTTTGCATGTTCGCGATAAGGGGGCAGGTGAGGGTTGTTATAAGGTGTTTGGGCGGGACTACCGCCAAGCGATCTACTCGTCTTGTGGAGAAACGTGTTCGTGGAGTGTCCTGGTGGGTGGGTATAAATGGCTGCAACAGAACTGGTCATGCCAATGCGCGCCCAGGACCTCGCTTAGACCGGTCCTGGCTTGGCCTGCGTACACGTGCGAATCCAGGTCCAGATCGTCCGCAGCTCACCTGGCTCGATTCCATCGGCAAAGCAACAAGAAGCCAAAGGCCCTCTCGGCTCTTTCAAGGTTCTCGCCCAGAGCTCAGCTCCGCAATCTGTGGGTCTTCATGTTGGCCCTGCGGCTTATCCTCACACTATGTACGGAGTATGTACTCTTAGGGTTGTCCCCATGCGGGGAACGTCAACTGGTCAACAGGTCGCACGAGCCTCAAAAAGCCCTTCCTCCTTCTTCCATGAGCGGATCAGAACATACAGACTATCACAATAAATATCCCTAACGGAAACATGAGTCCCGGAATCTCCTCCTTTTCTCTGCCCGCGACATGCTAAAGGGGAGCGGTACGTCATCGAGCGGAAATGCCAATTCCAAGGTTAGCCAAGCCTGCCAAAACCTGGCTTTCCGAGCGATCGAACAATCCATGCGAAATCCCGATCTCCGCCTGCGCCACCCTCGCTAATCGGAACCAGCGGGGGTTGTTCGGTCCAGAATATCAGTAGAAAGTTGTGCTGCTGATTGTCATTTGTCATTTGTCATTTGCTAGGTTTGACACGCTCAGAGCGGACTTGGCTACATTGGCTGTTTTTCCTCGATCGAATCTACCGTGGTCGATTGGCATTCGCAACTCTATATACTCAGAGCATGGGAGTATATTCTCGAAAATATGTACACCAAGCACTATCAACACGGACGGTTCATACAAACAAGGCTGTACTGTACTGCATCAGCTGGGTATGGGCGTTTAGTATGTACGAAGCTTTGCAACACCGGGCCACGCTCATCTATTATATACCAAATGATTCCCCGCCCACAGCTCAAGCAGAGACAGCTTCAGCGCCCGTAGCTCCCGCGCGCAGAGGCGCGTACCTTGTCTCTCGTCCAGCGCACACACACCGCCGCACTTCGCGCCAGGCAACAACTCCCGTGGCTATCATCATGACCACCAAGAAACCGAGGTAAGCACCCGCCCTGTCCCTGTGATTAGTCCACGGCTTTTGTTTCGATCTGCCTCCGCCGTATTGACCGGAGGGAAGATACGAGATGGCTGGACTCACCGATTCCAATTACTGTCAACAGCAGCAGCGCTTTCGTGACCGTCCACCGTGTGGGAACTCGCTCCATCGCTCTCAACCTCCGCTGGCGCGGAAGAAGGGCCCGCATCATCGACCTCGACACCCGGTCCCGACAGCAAGGTCTGCCCCGGCGCGCAAGCAGCGAGATGATCTGCCGGGATACGAGTGGAGAGCCGCAACCGTTCCTGGAGGGCCAGCGGGGCTTCGATGAGGGTGAGCACGAGACCCGAGTACGCGTGCCATTCCATGTGGCAGTGGAAGATCCAGACGCCTATTACAACCAGTTAACACTACATGAGCTTTTTTCTGTTTTCCTTTCCAGAAAACCAAAATAAAACAAGAGAAGCAATACTGACCAGGATTCGTCGATCGAAATCGAAGCACCAGATTCCCACCGGGATGCACAATGGCCGTGTCGCGCCGGATGGGAACCCTGGGAAAATCCGCCTCGGTCGCTCCGGTGTCCGCGAAACTGCCATTGCCGGCCTCGGAGCGGTAGACCACCTGGAAGTTATGGCCGTGCAGGTGGAACGGGTGGCGGCTCATGTGGCCGTTGTTCACCACCAGCTCCACGGTCTGGTTCTCGGCGAGGATGAAGGTGTTGGTGGATTGGTTGTAGGTCGCGGTATCGGTGGAGAGAGCCCCAGCTTCGAGGGCGTGGTATAAGGTCGGGTAGTCGGGCGGGGTGTAGGCAATGTCGTTGAAGGTCCAGCTGTTCATGGGGGTTTGGAGGTTGGATAAGTGGTTTCGTGTGTGGGAGAGCTAGCATAGAGGGCGGAGGGGAGGAGAGGTAACATACTGGCTTTTTCCATCCCCAAGTCGAGCCGTTCCCATATTCAGAGTGATGCTTTGATCTGGTGAGGTGAAGAGTGGTTCCGAATCATACGGTTCTAGCGTAATGTCGTCAATTGCTTGGGAGATGTCGATGTCTGCGGATGGTTCGTCGAGTGACAGGCGCTGATCGTAGACTAACCACCCGGTAACGGTGACTTGAGGTCGCGAGTGGGCCATCATAATCAAGGTCTTGCAGGAGCAGATCAGCAACGGACCCCGCATCTACTGTCCACGTGAGGCATACCTTGTCCATGGTCACGGTAATAGCGTAATTGCGACTGGCATTGTCCTTGCCCTCGATCAGAACCCCGTATCGCTGACCCGCAGCGATATAGATGGTCTGTGCTTGTGCGCGCTTCGTGTAGACACCATCCACCTCCACAATCGTCATCTCGTGGTCCTCGATTGAGACATATTGTCCCATGAAGCCGCCGATATTCGCAATTCGAACAAGATATTTCTCGTTCGGTCGAACCGGAATTTGGAGGTTCTGAGTGTCGTTAATCAAGTTCGAGTCCGGTGTAGGATCATGAAGCATAGACTGATGGAGATAGTGTGGCATCATCTCCGGCATCTGCTCGTGATACCAATCCGAGATCGAGAATACAATCTCCTCATTGTACTCAGCATTGTATGGGGAGGCCGCATCATGCACGACAAAGAGACCACGGAGCCCATCCGGGTACTGTGACTCGGCATGGGCATGGTACCAGTACGTTCCTGGCTGGTTGACCTGTCGACTTTACTTAGACGATTGTTTGTTCGCGCCAATGAATACGGAAGCTCGCTCTAACCTGAAACCTATATTGGAAATTGGACCCCGGTTGAATGGCGCACTGGGAGACTTGGGCAGTCCCATCCATGTGCGGGGTGCCCTCCATGAAGATGCCGTGAAAGTGTAGAGCCGTGGACTGATTGCCCAGCGAGTTGAGCACATTCACAACTATAGTGTCCCCCATGTCAGCCTGAATCTGCGGCAGCGGCCAGGTGTCATTGATGCCAATCGTTGGTCGTACTTTGGCACCATCCGGGTTGGCGAGGACCCAGGTAATGTTGAAATCATATTCGACTGTTTTGGAGAGAACAGTAGTGACGATTGTCAGTAGGCCGAGAAGGCGTGCCGGAGACAGCATAGCCTGTTGCATCAGAAGTGGCAATCAGGAGTTCCTTCTTCCCAAAGATAAACTCGCGAACATAAATGCGTGGAGTTGAAAGCGGTGAATGCCGGCCTGGAAGGTGAAGGGTAAGCATTTAGTATTAACTGCTCTTTGGGGGATCATGCAATCTGTTATCGGCCCCATTCTTTATCCGGGCATGAAATTATGCCTTCAGACACAGCCAGACCGGCAACAAACGGCTGTACTCCCGAGGCCTGTGTTCCCGAGGTCCTGCATCCTATCACCGGAGTATGGCATAAAGAATGAATAAATCATCCACCCTATGTTAGGGTTGACGTTGAATGGAAGGTTGCAAGATGTCCTCAACTCGGCACGTGATCTTCTGCCTAACCAACAATGCTGATTCAGCAAAGGATAATGATCCCGTGACCACAAATTGTTCAAGCAAATGAAGCCAAGGAGCATCTGCACATGACTATGAGCTTACCTCTCGCCCAAAAGAAAGTCTTGAGCAAATGGAGCGGGGAGACATCTGTCAGAGTCGTATCATCCAATGTGAATGGGAATAGACCGTCCGCGAGAGTTGATTCCTGGATGAGCGGGTTTGACATCGCCCATGGCGCATCCCAATCTCAATCATAGCCGATACCTTGGCCTCCAGAAAGCGCTCCACAAGAATCATCATGGTGGAGTTGTAGGCATCTTGAAGTCCGCCGGAGGGTTCCCTGTCTTGTGAGCAACTGTGATATGAAGAAGTAAAGGAAGGTTTGCGGTTTGCAAAAGACATGGAAAACCCCCACAGAGAACCGAATACCACCAGTTTGGCAGGGGGCCAAGCATGGTATCCGTGTTAAGGTGTACGGTAGCTTGCAGGTGTCCACCAGTTCGTGCGCAAGGCGGAGCCAGATATGTGAGCACTCGCCAGGCATCGCTTCGGATAGGATCGAATAATCAAGTGAAAGAAGAAAGACAAGTTACTTTAGGGCTTCCAGTCTCACGACGTGGTCTTGTAGCAGAAATTCACCTGGGCGAGCCCCATCAAATTTCACTTTACGGCGGCGGCACGGAGCACACGCGTTGGGGATCTTCAATCGTCTCCTGCTGGCAAGATTTGATAGTGTATATCTGCGCTTCCGAGCTAAGTCTTGAGTGTCCATTTCTCTCTCTATACCCCTTGTTGATTCAGTGATAAGCTTTTGTGCAGGGTCGGAGATGGCCTCAAGAGTGATGCCGTCATTCAAGGGTCAATCAATCCTTGGGTTTGAGGGTCATGTGGAGCCCGACCGCCTGTCAGACTCTGAGCGATCACCTGGCTTCTCAGTCGACTAGAAAATCTCCCACAATGATAATGTGAGGTGCAATCCAGCACTGGGCATACTGGGTAAGTTACCTTGACTGACTAATACTTTGTTGTGTTCGCTGTACTTGATTACTGTGGGCTTTGCGGACCGCCCTCCGATTCGTTGGTCATCTTACCTGAAGTCATCCATACTACTACCTTACGAGTAGTTACTAACCTACCTTGAAGGTATAACTCAGGTACTGCCAGGTAGTACTACGTAGATAGTATGGAACAACATGAAAAACCTCGAAATATTCTCAGCACGTACTCGTGAATTTCGTTGTATGGTCATTTCTAGATGGAAAAAGCTGATGATGTTGCCAGTGGCACTCCGCACCACCGAACTACGGAAGACCATTCACGCAAATGCACCCTACCCTACCCCATTCCTATTCAGTCTCATCAAAAACCTGATCAATCCGCACCACCAGGGATTATTGCGGAGATTCTCCCGAGCATCGCCTGCTGCTGCTCCTCCGCCAAGACAACGCCGAACCGCTCGCGTAACACCTCGACTCTTTCTGCCTCGGTCACGCACGGACCATTGCACTAATATGATCGCATCCTCGCTGGAGTCCTTTGGGGTAGAAGGCGTGCGAACAGCATTTTGGCAACTAACCAACTCGAAAATGTAAGCCGTCTTGGTCATCTCCGTCCAGTTAAAATGAGGTCTCTCACCTGTCGCCATGCTCACCATTGCAGTTGCATCCTTTTTCACATATCCCAAGCTCACGAGCGACTGCACTCTGGATTCTCCTCCACTGGAAATATGCCTCCATAGTCAATCGGCCTCTTTTTCTCTTTCTGAACTTACCCTGGAGACTCGAGTGGACGTTTTCTGTCAAATCTGTAAGACAGTCCCTTGAAGCTCAAAACCCCGAAGTTCTATGAGGCAAGGCCGGACAAGATTTGATCCATTTATACGTGCACCTGCTATCAATTGAACATCGGAGGTGAGATTGAAAGTAAAAGGATTTCCAATTACACATTGCTGCGGAACCAGACGGGATTTTTTAATAATCCAAAGATCTGGACGCGAACCTGCGGCAAAATTGATCAAGTGACTTCACGGGTCTGTGTCGAATTGTCGGTAATCTTCGTGTTTAGCAGGCAATTCTTTCCCTACTATGCTGTGTTCGTGAAGGAGATTCTGGCATTGAATGTAATTTACTTGCCAAGCTATTAGTGGTGGGCCTTCGGAAAGTCCAAACAGCCAACCAGCGATGGATCCGAGGGGTTTGGAGAACGGAAATTTTATAGCCCTGTATACGGCAGGAAAACGTCGGCCTCTTTCTTCTTACGCTGCAGAAGTCATCGATTTTACTCAAGTATCTCTCCTTCTTGTTTTCAATTCACCCCTGAATTTTAAAATCTACCTACCTGTATATATGTTGTATTTTCGTTCTGTCATAGCTTGACTTTTCTATCAGAATCTACCGAGTAACTGCAACCCATATCCTTTACCATTCCGTCTACTATAGCTACAATCTTATCTACTTTCCTCCCTTTTAGATTTCCTAAGTTCTCTGGAGCAGGTAATGGGACAGATAGATAATCGATTGACAAAGGCGGCATAACAAGATGGCGATTTGTTGATTGTACCATCAACTCGCTATATCAAAACTTACCAAAGTCCACTGACTCCGAGTGTTTCTCCGAAGCGATGGATTGCAAGTGAAATGCAATCTAATCATCTTGAATATTGGCTTGTCACTGATACCGAATGGCCGGAAAGAACCAAGGACTTCCCAGGATTGCTTTCACAAGCTCATCTCGCTTCCTATCGTCACGAACTCCCAAACGGCTATATATTTCATCTGCTATATCCTCCAGTGCGTTGTGCGATCTGAGTCCAGGGAAGAATTCGCTCGGAATTGTTGTTGAAGCTTCATAAAAAGGCCATGCGAAGACGACATTGCGTGCAGGACCCCCACCCTCGAAGACAGCAAGAACACGATAATCGTCAGCCACAATGCCGCCTTCAACAAGATATTCCTCGCCATACAGTTCTGGATCACGATATGCAAGCCTGGTTGCAGCCTCCTTCGCACTGAATACACGTGTCATATGTTCCGCCCACACGGCAATCACCACAATGTTCTCTTCCAATTCATTTTCCAACTGTTTCCGTCGCTGAAGGGCTCGCTTCCAAGTGCCGAAAGATAGAAATCGTGTGGGAACCCTTCTCCAGGAAAGATGATCATCAAACTCTTGCAGTGATGGTGGACCTTCGTAGTTCGTTCTCCGTGCGCACACGTAGCCTTCTATGAAGCTGCTGTTTCTCTCGCACTCGGCGCGAAAGAGAACCAATGGTTTGGAGTTTCCTGATAATGGCTGAACAGTCATGATAGTTTGGAAGTCACGACGTTATCCAAATGAAAAAGAGTATGAGAGATAGTGAGCAGTATGTTGGTGGTGGTTGTATTGCTGGCCACAGAAGAAGGGGTGGAGCCTTGCCTCTTGTAAGAAACTGTTTGATGACTGGCACCAAGTGCGGGGTATGCTAAAAAGAGCAATCTGCGCCTTAATAGTATATTTAGCTATATTTGATTAAATTGATCCTAAGCATACAGTGTTGATTATTGGCGCATTTCATATGCAGAGAAAGCGGGGTTATGACCACAGTGGTCTGGCGTAATTCGCCAGAAGTATGGAAGACCATTGCGGCCACTCGGCAGGAGCGAACGATGCCATCATGATGCCATGTGAAGGAATTAAAGTTACATATGAATCTAGACACCCCAATATAAAAACAATAGTAGATGACAATGCCTATGAAGACCCCGAATAACAAAGCCTTCGGCTTTTCAAAACTGAAATAGATTCTAACGCAAGAAGAGGCTTTATCATACGCTTAGAGAAATACATCGAGGGAGAAGGGAGAGAGGTTTATAGATACTTATTGGGACTCAAAAAAGAGAGTGTTCACCGAATCTTCTTGGCCTAATATTGACTGTGTACTCTGAATTTATAGAAATGGGCTACCTCTTGTTCGGTGGTCACTGCGGTGAGAACACCACTACTCGGTACTTCGTACGCAGGTTAGTAGTAGTCGCCACCCTGCAAAAGCAAATTGGTTCCTATTTTTAGCATTTTTCTTGACATTCTACTATTAACAGAATCACGTCATTTCCTACTCCCAAGGACGTTTGTAAATGATTGGCCGTAGAGTAAGCTATGCCATTTTAAAGATAATTAGGTCGATTGGTGATTTTGTATACTCTTATTAGGTTTGATAATCCGCACAACCCGAAATGTCAATCCAAATACAATTTGTATCTAAGTTGATATATCAATACATTAATATGTATTCAGGCGTTTACTACTTTACTCAAACATGAATAAAAAGGGTTTAGTCGGAGCCCCATAGCCATAACGGTGCTTATTATACCGGCGATGCTATCCTGCTTGCGTGGGAAGATGCGTGGGAAGATGCGTCGGAAGATACTTATCAAAGGACTTGGAGATGTGTCTAGGAGGGCTTCGCCGTCCAGTTGCCTTGGTGCCTGCCCTTGGTCTTGGTAAGGAACATTGTGTTTGCAGGATGGCGGCTGCTATCCGCTGTACACAACTTCTTTCAACCATCGAGACCAACCACCGCCGAATGACTACCCCATGCCATGAATAATGCTCTTCATTACGCAAGATAGACCACCAAAGAAGATGAATATGGCCCGTGAACGAGTATGAGTCTAAAACAAGAAGTTCGTTTAATGCGAGGACTTCCTCGGTAGTAGTACAAAATCCTCGATTGTGTCCTGAATACGGAACCTGACTAACTGTTATCGTGTATATAGAAGTCACTTGAGTAAAACCACTGTGACAGTTATGTAATTACAGCCCAGATAATCTGCGTCATTGCGAACCGTGTCTCGATACGTGATTTTGCTCGTATCAGAAATAGACAATCCATGTCAGTCCTAGGCCCTCCATGGCCAGGGATATAGAGCATAAATTAGACTTCCAGGAAGAACAGGTCCCCCAAGGATATCTCGGATCCGTCTGTGTCAGCACAGCATAGAGTGACGAAAACGTGGACAGCCACGGATCTTGGTGTTACCATGCTACCAGATGTAACGAGTGATCCCAATATAGTGCCGGGTTGTTGCTTTTTGCTGTCGTGTTAGGGTTACACGGGGCGTATGGGGCGTACCGGGCCTGGTGAGCCGGGCAGTCGGGTTCCCGAGGGTCTTCGTAGCACACAGTGCACATCGTTTGTGCGATTTACATGTTCCTCAGATTCACCCTGGAAAAAATTTATCATGTGTCAATAGGTATATAAGGTACATATCTCATGTCTAGGTACCCTTTGAGAGCTGTGATTGAGTAGGTTCTTCTGAATCTAGTAGGTAGTTTGTGTTCCGCCGTCCTTTGCTTTAGGTTTGTGCCTAGGTAAAATAGGTTTCATAAGCGAAGAGCTCGCGGACAGGTCAATGCAGTGATCATACATATTCTTGCCTGTTGCCTATGTTGCTAAGATCCATACGAGCTCAGATGATTGATAGGATTGCCCTGCATGGAACGTCACCGGATTCTGCTTTGAGCGGAGCCCCGGTCCAGCCCCCAACACTCTCCGCCAGATTGTGATAGGGCCTGAATGCTTACTATTACGCCCTTTTCTGAAATAGAATCAAAGATATCAGTCCGATGATTGTTTCCGTTGCGATGGCGTCGATGATGTCGATTACGGGAAAGCGAAACCAGTCTCAAGGCCATACAAAATGTCTAGAAGGGTTTCATTCGGTGTGTCTATCTTAAAAGCAGACTGTTGCAAGAACACACAATCTTAAAATCAAGAACCATCCCTGGAACAAAATTTCTTGTAGCTCTTGTGATGACAATGACTGCATCTGACTCACGTCACGATCTTCCGAGAAGGACTTTGGCAAGGATCCCATCGGGCGCATTATACGAGACCTCGGTTGGCCCTTCTGCTCAGACCTGGAAAGCCCGGACAGGCGCCTAATCCGGGATACATAAGAGTAGTTTGTCATGCTTTGGTGCAGGTCCAACGATTTTCCCTCTCCAGCACTCATGTAATATCAACATGTTTTTACAAACCTACATCATCAACATCATAACATTTTTCGGCTTCCAGCCGAGCTTCCCTTTGTTCCGTGGACCATATGAACCAGAATCACCCCAAATCCCAATTGTACCAGGCGCTCTATCGTTTGTGCCTCCGGGCGCTGCTGAGAATGAGACTGCCCATGGCCCCTTCAAGTGCCATTATCCGGCTATGGCCGCCGAGTACACCTACGATCCCTCGCCTAACAATCGAGGTGTGTGGCTGAAACATCGGACCGATGCTTCGAAGGACTTTACCATCCACACGGACTATGAAGTTAGAGCTCCTATTGGGATTGAGCGCAAAGTAAGTATCCTCTGCCAGCATCACAACGCAGTACGATGGTAAACAACCCTAGTACTTTCTCACTGTGGGCGAAGATACGAAGCATCCTGTGAATTGGGATGGCATCGACTTTCCATATGCCAAGCTGTTTGACAAGAGTTTTCCGGGGCCTTGGATACGTGAGTACCGATGGTTTCTACGAGATTATCGGTGGAAGCTGACACTGATCTACGGACAGAGGCATGTTGGGGCGATATAGTGAGTAAGTATCAAAGCCATCAAAGATATTCCCTTCACTTACTGATCACAATTGTCTCTAGACATCACTGTTAAGAACAATCTCTCGAAGAACGGGACTGCGATTCATATGCATGGCATTCGACAATTCGGATCTACCCTCATGGATGGCGTTCCTGGAATTACTCAATGCCCCATTGCGCCCGGGGACACCTTCAGCTACGTGTTCAACACGACCCAGTACGGGTCCACCTGGTATCACAGCCATTACAGTCTGCAGTACTCAGACGGCCTGCTGGGTCCGATGACGATTCATGGTCCCACGTCCGCCAACTTTGACAGCGCCCTGGATCCGATCCTCATCTCTGACCACAATCACCGCAGTGCATTTATGGACTACTACCAGGAGCAATTCGCGAATCCTGCCGCTGATCCGCCGCGTGTGCCTCCGAAACAGACTAGTATTCTGATCAATGGGCAGGGTATGTCACTTTCCTCCCTTGAGGCACAGACGAATCAAATCCTGACATGCTATTGGACCAGGGAGTTATGCCGGATCTTTCCCCAAGAACCGATATCACAAGAAGGTGAAGCCCGGAAAACGATACATCCTGCGGCTAATCAACGCATCCACGGATAGCACCTTCATTTTCAGTATCGATGGCCACAATCTGACGGTGATCGGGAACGACTTGGTTCCAGTTGAACCGTATACAACGAACCACATCTATATTGGGATCGGTAATGCTCACCCTCAGCATGCCCTTTCTGATGAGCTAGTGCATGCATGGAGAGCCCGCACTGACCGATTCAACAGGCCAGCGCTACCACGTTGTCCTCGAAACCCTAAGCAAGAAGCACATCTCCAGATCCAAAGAGGGCTACTGGATCCGTACCGAGCCCGCGGAGGGATGCCACAACTTCGAGACCTTCCCGGACGACAGACAGGGCATCCTGTGGTACGGGGGTGACGACGACGATAGACCCCCGGTACCGACCACGACGGCCTGGTCGTACAATTCTACCTGCAGCGACATGCTCGATCTGGTCCCCGTCGTCCCGTGGACCATCGAACCACCGGCTACCGGCCTCACCGCAGTCAAGTACCACAGCAACCATGCCCTCCTGGAGGCGTCGGTCACGATCGACACCTGGTTCCTGCGCGCAGAGGGCAATGACGCGGCTGCGACAGTCAACGTGTGGCAGTTCCTGAACGACACCGTCTTCGTCAATTACACCGAGCCCACCGTCAACCACCTCGACCCGCCCTACGACCCCAATGCCGTTATCTACCTGGCCGAGGAGCCGCCAGTGGGCTCTCGCCCGCAAACATCCACCTGGAACTATATGATATTGATCGGGGGCAATCTGGACAATCCCAGCCCGGTCTCGGGAGGTCGTCTGGTACCTGTTGCTCATCCGGTAAGCTTCCCTCTCCCTGGCCTGTTAAACATCCCCACCGCCCTCTTCCAATCCCAACATACACTTGGAAACCTGATAGCCCACACCCTAACCCCACCCCTCCGCATCTCGGGATCCAGATCCACCTCCACGGCCACGACTTCGCCATCCTCCAATACTCCGAGTTCCCCTACGACGGCCCGGAGTCCCTCGATCTCCTCCTGGACAACCCCCGCCGGCGCGACGCCGTCCTCCTGCCCAGCAACGGGTTCATCGTCATCGCCTTCAAGACCGACAACCCGGGCGTCTGGACGCTGCACTGCCACATCGCGTGGCACGCGTCCGGCGGGCTCGCGCTGCAGGACCTGGAGCTGAAGGAGGTGCTGGCCGCGCAGATCGCGCAAGTCCCGACGACCTTCGCGAAGCGG